ATGTAAAAGAGGCCTGCACAGCATTCAGCTTATGGCCCCTGTGGCTACATATTGTGCAGGCCTTCCTTATCAGAAATACGTAGAGCCAGAAAAGACCTAGGAAGCATGAATGCCCTCCTCAACCCACCTCTCCAACCCTGTCCTCTTCAGAACTTCCCTAGTTCCAATCAGGGAGCCACCAACCTTCTTGTCATTTCAGGTCATGATCTTGAAGTCATCCTCAGTTCTCCCTGCCCCTCTTCCTCCTCATCCAATCCCTGCCTAAGTAGAGCAATCCTCCCTTAGCTCACCCACTCCCTTATCATGATCCCAGTACCAGCCCTCATTCTCTCACCAAGGGACTATTGGGATGGACTCCTAAGGGTCTCTCTGCTCAAGACTCCCCTCTCTAATCCATCCCTTATCATGAAGAATGACAACAGGGGAAAGTCAGATGAACTAACCACCATTTCAATCCTTCAGGCATTAGATTCAGTGTTCCATGCCCAGAATCCCCCTCCTACCCCTGCAATGAAAGGGGGGGGGGGGAGAGGGAGGGCATTCTCATCTCTCCAGTTCAAGGCCAAAGTCAGGCAAGATAAGTCACAGCATTCAAGCCTCAGCTGTTTGGTCCTGGTTATTTCCATTCCCGTTGGAGTTATAGTGTATCTTGTTTTCTGATTCTGTTTAATGCATTGGTTTACATACACTAGTAGTAACAGTAATGATTATATTAACAATAGCTAGCACATATTCAGGATTGTGAGGTTTGCAAAGCACTTTATGAATAGTATTTCATTTTGTCCCCACAAACACCCTGGGAAACAGACGCTGTTATCATTACTTCCATGTTACAGGTGAAGAAACTGAGGCAGACACAGGTTAGGACACAGAACCAGCAAGTGTCAAAGGCTGGATTTGAACTCAAGTCTTTCTGACTCCAGGTATGGCATTCTATCCACTGGGCCAAGTACAGGCCTTCCCCTGATATCTCTGTGTTCCTCATTTCTCTTAGCACAGAAGTATATTCCATTGCTGGAGGGTCTGGTGAGTGAAATCTCCAGGAGGGCAGTGTCACTGGATGGAAGAGGACATGTGGGGCAGAAAGGGTGTAACAAGACTGGAAAGGTGGGAGAGCCTTGAGTTAGGCAGAGCTTTGAGTGCCAGACTGAGCATTTTTTATTTGCTCCTAGAAATGGTAAGGAGCCACCAAAGTTTATTGAGTGGGAGAGGGGGCTGACATGGTCAGACCTGCACTTTGGGAAAATGACTTTGGGGCTGGATCAGAAGGGGGACAGACTGGACACAGGCAGAGCCTCTCCCCCAGCAGCTATTGTAATAGTCCAAGGGTGAGGTGATGGTGTTTTGTTGGAAACTGATAGCCCCCAAGACGGATGCCTCCAGGACCTTGCCCAAGATGTGCCCAGGAGGGACATTGGAAGAAGGATTGTCCCTGAGGTAAGAGAAGTGGTACAGCAGCCCCTCAGTACCCTGTCCTCCAGTCTTCTCAAGACCAGGGAGGACAAGGGAGCCTGGGTGTGGGCCATACTCCCACTTTCTCCATCTCTCTCACCAAACCCTGGGCAGAAATTGAGGCTGAAGGAAGGTTACCCACTATATCATGGTTATGTTCTTTGCTTTAACCAGTTACTCTGGCCCTATTCCCCTTGACCCATCCTGTCATGGGCATTCAAGGGATAACTGAGAGATGTCTCCAGACATACCCCTCCCCTTGCCTATTTGAGAATCTGTTGTTTAAACACTCCTCCATTATGCTCTCCTCTTGCCCTGCCCCCTCCTTGGGAAGGGACTGATGGTGAAGTTGGGGAGCCAATTTTCTCTAGTTAAGCCTCCCCTCTCCCTTTTCCCTCTGTATGCCAGACCTCCCCATGTTCCCCCAGGAGGGTGGGAGACAATTTGGAATCGGGGAGTTCCTGGGCAAGCTGCTTTTGCCACCGCTATTGTTCACCTCCAAGACCCTAAAGTATTTTCTAATCACAGTATTTGTAGCCCCACCCAGGAGGTTTCTTTGTCCTCTACCTCGGGAGTGCTTAATATCTTGGGAACTCAAGGCTATAGGGTCTCTTTGAACAAAGTCCAGATAGCATGCCAGTCTGTAAAGTTTCTGGGCGAGGAACTCCCAGTCCCAGCCACTAAGAAAAAATTTTGAACTTTTCTAGGCATGGATAGATTTTGTGGTCTCTGGATCTCTAATAATAGTTTGATTGTTAAGCACCTTTATGACTCTCCTCTGGGCCCTGACTCACTCCCTCAAGAGTGGGGCCCAGACCAGGCTAAAGCTTTGGCGATTTTAAAATCTAAATTTTCCTCCAGGCCCCTAACTGGGTCCCTAGGTGCCACTGGAAGACCTGTAAGGTTCCTGGGGGTGGCTGCTGCAGTCATTCTAATTGAGGAAGCCTCTAAATTTACATTTGGCCTCCCAAAGTGGGGAAATATTTCCCTAGTTAAACTAGGAATCTCTTTAGACCACTCACACCCACATGGTAACTCTCATCTCCACAAAGCCCCCCTTCCCAATATGACTTTCTCAGAAGTTTATGCCACTCCATTTATGCTTGCCGCTTCTCTATGGGCTACTGTTTCTATATTTACACCTGCTTCTCTACAGGGGAATATTCCCTTACTTGGGAGACAAGCTCCAAGGCCACTAGACAAGTTAACACTCCTGTGGAGGGAGGGCTTGTAAGAGTTTCTGCTAATCTTTTGACGTGCACCACAGTCTCCAAGATACCACTAGTGACAGGAATTTTGGGGAAAAGGTGAAACGAAGTGCCAACACATACATAGCAAGACCCCAGAACTACTGTCTTGGCCACCCAACGTTTGGCACCCTACCAGCACTTTGGGGTGTGCACCCTTGGATTTTTAGCACCCCCCTTCTCCATTTTCAATGCCACAGTCTCTAACTTAAGGGCAAAACATGGATTTTGGGGAAATGTCCTCTAGTCTCTTAAAAAGGGAGCAGACTATCTTATGCCCTAGTATAACCTACAACATGAACATATTCTCTCTAACCTTTCAGAGACTATTCACCAGTTGGCAAATGTGACAGCTTATGGTCTCTGGGAAATCCAGCAATCTTTGGATTCCTTAGCAAAAGTAGTTCTAGATAATAGAATAGCCCTAAACTACTTGCTTGCCTCCAGTGGGGCTGTATGCGCTTTAGCAAACACATTTTGTTGCATGTATAGCAACTCTGGGCCCATAGAGTTCTGCACTGCTCATATTTCGGAAAAAGCTAGTTGGATGTAGAAATTCACAATGATTTTAGTGCTCCAAAATCATCTTTTTCATGGGAGTCCTGGTTTCTTTCTATATTGGCCCCTATTTTTATTCCACTACTGATTATATTTCTCTTGTGTTTGTTTGGTCCATGTTTACTAAATATTCTTGCCAGGTTCCTTTCTCCTAGGGTCTGAGCCATCAACTTCCAGATAACTGCTCAGGCTGTATACCAACCCAAGGTCTCTAGTCCACTGAACCTGGCATCTGCCAGGTTCTGAACTATGACCCCTTGAATGGGACCCAGAGAGGCAGGGACAGCAAAGTGTATTAGATGAACATTAGTAATGCCCATGGGGACAGGCAGGCATGAGGAAGTCTCAGCCTTTTGGGCATGAGATTCTCAGCCTCTGAATGGGGGCCAGGGTGGATCTTATATAGTAACTTTTTTGCTAAAGTAACTTTGAGTGGCCAGAGGAGGGGGCTTGGAAAATGGTCTAGGTAAGAATTCCAATTGGAAGGTTTGAGAGATTGAATAGACAATGGGAATAGAAAATGAAGGGAACTGGAAGGCATCTGTATAAGATCAAAAGGTGAGGCTAGGGCCTTCAAAGGGAGATAGGGGGAGCAGATAAGGAACCTAACAGTTTAAGGGTTTTCTGGGGCCTGTAGACAAATGGAGATAATGAGAGGAACTGGAAGGAAGAAGTTTGAAAGGCATAAGATCTTAAGGTAGGGCTTTCAAAGGGAGATGAGGGGCTGGGGCCTGTAGACAAATGGGAGTCAGATTCCCTTTGGAACAAGGGGCTAAGATTTTGCCTTGGGCCCACCCCATCATCTCTAGTATTCATTTAGTGCTTTACATGTGTGATCTCCTGGGATTCTCACAACCCTGCCAGGTAGGGGCTGTTATCCCTATTTCACAGAAGAAGAAACTGAGCCTGAGAGGTACGGTAATTTTCCCAGCATATTGGCTAGGACAGGACTCAGGTCTAACTGATTCCAGGCTCAGGGTTCTACCCACTTAGCCTTGGCTGCTAAATCACTGAACTTCAGTGTTCTCTTTTGTAAAATGAGGAGGCTGGATTTGGTCACCTGGAACTAAGCCTCTTTCAGGTGTCAAATATACCAGCATTCCTGTGATCTGGAGATCAGCTCAGAAAAAAACCTCAGGGATGTTTAGAGTTGAGGGGATGTCAGAAAATGATCTTGGAATTCCCTACTGGCTGTGAATCTATGACCCAGGCTGGAATCCTGTCTGATCCTTAATGCCCCTGTGACCCTGAGCCAGTCAGTGATGGCTCTAAGCCTTATTCCTCCAGGTAAAATGAGGGCTTGGAGCTCCGAGGCCCCTCTTGGCTCTGGCCCATGGTCCTCTGAGAGCTGGCCCTTTGAAAAGTGAACTCCAGCCTATGAAACCATCTCTGTCCCAACTCAGCTTCCTGGTTCCCTGCTACTCTCCTACCTTGGACAGCACCCCAGCCCATGCTGGGGCCCAGGCTCAATTGGGAGAATCCTTCAAACTCATTTTGGGGACCTGAAGGAATCCTCATCCAACCATCAACTTTCTCCCTTGCTCCAATTTTCCCAGGCTAATTAGGTTCCTGTGGTGTCATTTTAACCTCCCCTCTATGCTCTGCCCTTCTTTCAGGGACTGTCTCTGGCCTCCTACTCATTTTCTCTTCTCATATTTAAAGGAACAAACACAAAATACCCTCCTTCTCCCACCCCACCCCCAGCACTGGCCTATTTTCAAAAATTGCTCCAAGAAGCCCCTTCTTAGGCAAAGTCAATGAGCATTTAGAAAATGGCTCCTTTGTTCCAAACACTCTGCTCACATATTGGTTGTGCAAAGAACGTTTAGAAAAATAACAGTTCCAGCTTTCCATGAGCTCCGTCCTACTGCAAGAGACATGTCAGCATCTCTTTCCAAACAAGCTCGAAGAAAAAAATATACATATGCTCAATGTGAGAAGGCCTTTGGTTGGAACTCAGATCCTGATAGACCTCAGAAGATTCATACTGGGGAGAAGTTTTATAAATGTGATGAATGTGGGAAGGCAGTGTGCTACAAATCTCTACTTATTGACCATCAGAAAATCCACACTGGAGAGAAACCTTTTCAATGCAATCAATGTGATAAGAGTTTCACACAGAGTCCCAATCTTGATGTACATAAGAGAATTCACACTGGAGAGAAAGCTTATAGATGTCATCAAAGCGGAAAAACTTTCACACAGTGCTCCAGTCTTGTTAAGCATCAGAGAATCCACAGTGGAGAATGGCCTTATGGGTGTAATCAATGTGGAAAAACTTTCACCCAGAGCTCCAGTCTTGCTGCACATCAGAAAGTCCACAGTGGAGAGAAACCTTTTGAATGTCATCAATGTGGGAAGAGTTTTAGACAGAGGTCCCATCTTGCTACATGTCAGAGAATCCACACTGGAGAGAGGCCTTTTGAATGTAATCAATGTAATCGATGTGTAAAGGCTTTCCAATTCTGCTCCAGTCTTGCTTTACATAAGAGAATTCACACTGGGAAGAAATCCTAGGAACTTCATTCATCATGTGAGGCCGGAATACAATTATTGTGTTCATGTGACAATAATCTTTAACAATCTTGGTTCAAATTCATGCAATAGTCATTAACCTTTTGCTGCATTCAATACAATTGTCAGAGGCAACATCTACCACAAGTACATCTGTTCTAAATTAAATCTAAATAAAGTATTTGATAGGTTTTCAAACTCCCCACCTGTTCTCATCTGCAGGTAGGACAGAGGAAGGGGGAGTACATCTGATCACTGCAGGTGGGCTTCAGAGTATAGCTCACCAACAGGACTTTAAAAGTTTCAATCCTCTGAGGTAAGGAGAAGGGAGAATCCACCCCAGGAAATGTTTTCAAGGCAAGCTGGTGGAATGTTGGATAAGGAGGACAATCAGTACACATAGTACATTCTGGAGTCTTACAGGAATACACTGGGCACTAGTTTACACCTAGTGAAGAGGTGGTTAACAAATGTAACTTTAGTATATGCCAATGATTAACAGATATGATTTCATGATTTCCTAAATGATGGCAGATGAAACTCACTTCTTATTTAAAGTTTAACCCCTAAGTTTCCTTACTTTGACTGGGAAAGGTCATAGTGCCTTAAACTGCAGCATGATAGAGTCTCAGAACACTGTCAGCAGGACTGGTGAGAGCTTTTCACAGGTTAAGTAAGAAGTCCAAAGGAAGCTCAAAGAGCTGTTCAGAGGATTTTGCTCTACTTTTCCCCCAACAGCTAGTCACTTCTCATCAATTTTTTAATTAAAACAAAATATACCCATTATTAACCTTTCAAGTATTTCATCACATTCTATAATAGATACATTTATGATCTAACAGCATCCAGATCAAAAGTAACCTAACTTACTAGCTTTTTTTTTAAGTTACAAGAGAAAACTATTCAAAAGAATGCATTTTCCAAAGATGTTACAGGCAAAATCAGTCATCCTATCTCCCTTGACATTTTAGCCATTCTATCTAATTATATCGAAAACCCAGTATTGAGTATGGAGTAAGTACAGTCAATTAAATAGGTAGTAACAATTCATTTCTACAGTATTTACCACATGTCAGGCTTTTATTACCCCAACGGTCCATAATACTATACAGTGACCTCCTTGTGCTGCTCACATAAGGTCATGCCCACATGCCATACTTTACCTGGATCCAGCTGGCTGTGACCTGACAGACTGCCTCATGAAGATCCTGAAAGAGAGGGTAGAGTTTCACTATCAAAGCTGAGAAAGAAATCATGGGTGACATCAAGAAGCTGTGTTACATAGCCCTAGACTTTGAGCAGGAGACGGCCACTTGCTCTTCTCTCTGGAAAAGATGTTCAAGTCATCACCATTGGCAATGACATTTCCTGTGCCCAGAAGCTCTCTTCTAACCATGCTTCTTAGATTTGGAATCCTGTGGAATCCACAAAGCTACCTTCAACTCAGTCGTGAAGCATCATGTTGACATCAATAAGGATTGGTAAGCCAATACAGCATTGCCTGGTGGTACCACAGGATCGTTTTTTCCTGGAGTCTCATCTTTGCTGCATGTGTGCGTAAGTCTTTTCACTCCCACCTCTCATCCTCGGACTTCCATGGGTTTAGTCGAAGTGCCTCCTTGGGCACAGGGATCACTTTGGCTTTATTTTCTTGGTCCTCTTTGGTGAAGGTTCTATATTCCTTTATCTGAAACCTGAAAAAATAAATTAAGTTTAAAACCTAACCAGACATCTAAAGTGGGAAAGTTTTTCACTGTCAGCACTGAAAATATTACCATGAGAACCGGAAGCTTCTTCCCTTAGATCTGCAAAGCTGCTTCAGTTTCAGCACTCTTTCCCACACTGTTTAATCCCTTTGCCTTAAAGTCTGCCTTAAAGGGACTCAGATCCCTGACCTTCACTTCACTGGGACCTGCCGCTTTGAGTCAGTAACCTTAGGGGCCTCTGAGGAAGGCTTGCAAGGACTAGTTCCTTTCTCTCTCTTTGCCCCTCTCACCTAGGAGAGGTGTACAGGGGCCACACTGATAGTCTTGGATCTTTGCAAATTCCCCAACCCCCTTCCTCAGGAATAATAGCCTATTCGTGATTGAGACTTCTAACAAGCCTCCTCAAGCTTTTGGACTTCCCCTCTCCCTTTCGTTCATTGCACTCTCTGTTTGTGTTTGTCCTGTTAATTGTCTGTTTGTGTCTCTGTGTTGTAAAATGTCTGAGTCAAGTTTGGGCTATGAGCTCCATGGTGTTATCTTGGAAGATTTAAAATGCAGCCAGCCAGAAAAACTAAGGGCTGTAGTTAGAGAAACACCTAGAACGATGAATGAACTTTCTTGTCATTTGAGGTCATAGCTGAGGGCAGGACATGTTAGGTCATCATCATCATCATCATCATCATCATCATTATTATTATTATTTAGAGAAAAGCCTGTAAGACTTATTTGTTATTTCTACTCTGACCAAGTTGAGGCTACAGTAAAAAAAAAAAAAGTTAGATACAGCTAAGAACATTTTAGCAGAGTCTGGAGATGTTGAGATGAATCATTAAGGAGTTAGGATATTGATCATTTTAAGATTGCAGGACAAAACTCCTGAGATTGGGGGTAATTCCAGTAATTCACTCCCTGCTACAGCACCACCTCATAAGCCCAGCTCTGTCCCTCAGAGTCAGGTGTACTTCTTTGTACAGGGACTGGAAAAAGCCCCATGTTCTCCCTGTTGACCCCTCTCATTCCAGATCAGATTAAGAGAGGAAAATGCTGGAGAACTGTACAGAACTTGAGTCACCCTTCCGCACCTGGTAGAAGAAGGAGGAGGTCGGCAGCCACAGTGAGGGCCCCACTGGCCATCAGCTCAATGGTTCTGTGCCCCTGGGCACCCTGCAGTTCTTCCATACCTGTTAACTTTGAACTAGTTTTAAAATACCAAAAGTAATAAGATCAATAATTTCTATTTGATAATTTGGAAATGCAATTGATGTCATCTGAAGTTTATTGTTTGTGTTATTACTGTATTTCTAAAATCTCTTAGATTGTAAAATTTGAGAGATCATTGTGAGGTAGAAATGGTGTTAGACAAAGCAATTTTTAATTTGGATTTTTTGCATATGAATTAGGCTTTTAATAGGATCTAATTTTTAAAAATTAGATAATTTGGAAACTTAATGAAATGAAGTATATGTGGTTAGAAACAGATAACAATAATAAATAATGTTATTTAATATGATAGCAATTTTCATTTGAAATCTTGGCTATTATGAAAATATACAAAGTGGTTTAAAATTGTAGTTTTAACATATTAATGACTAGATGAATGATTTTCTGTGCAGAGTAATTTGGAAATGTGTTCACCAAAATTGGTAATAGGCTTGTTCCAAGTTTTAAATACATAATATTGGTTTGGTTTGGTTTGGTTTTTAGGCAATTGGGGTTAAGTGACTTGCCCAGGATCACACAGCTAGTAAGTGTCAAGTGTTTGGTCTGAGGCCGGATTTGAACTCAGGTCCTCTTGACTTCGGGGCCTGTGCTTTATCCACTGTGCCACCTAGCTGCCCCTCATAATATTGTTTAGGGTATCATTTTAGTTTTAAATTTTGTAATTTGGTAAACAATTATACCAGCTATGTTGTTGAAAAAGCAATTCCTCTTATAATCTAGTTAGATTAAAAATTGTTCCAACAAAAAAAAATTTAGGGGAGAATGAACAGTTAGTGTAAACTTCCAATATTTAAGGGGAAATTACACCTAGAATTCTTGTCAACTCTGTGCAAGAGTTTTCTGTGTTACCTATCAGATTGGCTAATGGGACAAAATAGGAAGATGATAAATGTTGGAGAAGATGTGGTAAAATTATGACATTAATGCATTATTGGTGGAGTTGTGAACTGATGCAACTATTCTGGAGAATAATTTGGAACTCTGCCTAAAGGGCAACCAAATGGTGCATACCATTAAATACAGCAATATCACTACTAGGTCTGTATCCCAAAGAGATCATAAAAAAGGGAAAAGGACCCACATGTGCAAAAATATCTGCAGCAGCTCTTTTTGTGGTAGCCAAGAATTGGAAATCGGGGGGATGCCCATCCATTGGGGAATGGCTGAGCAAGTTGTGGTATATGATTGTAATGGAATACTACTGTGCTATAAGAAATGATGAGCAGGATGATTTCAGAAAAATCTGGAAAGACTTACATGAACTCACGCAAAGTGAAATGAGCAGAACCAGGAGAACATTATATATAGTAACAGCAACATTGTGCGATGACTAATTTTGATAGACTATCTCCTCAGCAATGCAATGATCTAAGATAATTCCAAAAGTCTCCTGATGGAAAATGCCATCCACCTCCAGAGAAAGAACTGTGGAGTCTGAATGCAGATTGAAACACACTATTTTCTTTGTTTTTTCTTCTGTTTTTTTTCCCCTTTTGTTCTGATTCTTCTTTCACATGACTAATATGGAAATATCTTTAATGTGATTGTACATATATAGCCTATATCAGATTGTGTCCCGTCTTGAGAAGGGGGGAGAGAGAAAGGAAAAAATTTAGAATTCAAAATCTTATAAAAGTGAATGTTGAAACTGAAATATATATGTGTGTGTGTGTGTGTGTGTGTATGCGTACATATATATGCATACATATATACATAAAGAAAAGAGTTTTCTGTGTTGTGGAAATCCTACTGAGTAAATGGGAAACCTGCACAAAATAGGGGTGTGGATCTCAAGCCTGCTTCATCTAAGATATATATATCATCCATTCGTATCTATTAGTTTGGAGGTTTGTGAACTACCACATTCACTATCTATGTGAAATTCCAGAATGTAATTACTTTCTTAATTTCTAGTATTATATTTAAGGACCAAAGGAAAGAAAAGAATAAAACTGAATCCCCCCCCATTACAACACTTTTTTAACCAGGAATTTTGTGATAGCTAGAAGTTCTATGATAATTCAGAATTTAGATTGTTATAGTGCTTTGGGAATTTGTGTTACTTAAAGGCATTTAGAGTTATTATATTCAGGAAGCACATTTAAATATGTTACCTGTTCATGCCTCTTCCTTTTTCTCCCTCTGACCATTTGAACTGAGGCCCAGGCTTGGAATGTTCTTCCATGGACCCAGTTGCCCCCACTGACTTCTGCCCATCTCCACAGCTAGGAAGATGCCCTTTTCAGGAATCACTGCACCTCCCAACTTTCCAGGCTCCTGTCCCTCTGCCATAGAGGACCGCATATCCATTCAAGCCCAGGGCAGCCAATAAGTGGTCTTACTCCTCCTCTCTGGCTGAATAAGTGTCTTTTATGTTCCCTCCCAATGCCATTAAGTATATTCACAGAATCCCCTTGAATCTACACCCAGAGAACACACATTCTCCTGGCCCCCTTTGGTGTCTTATCACATGCATTGTGTGTAATTCTTATCTTTAGCTTCATTTCACGTGTCTTCTTCCAGGTTCTGTATCTTGGTACCTAGATCTATGTCACTGTCTAGGTCCATGGTCCAGTGTTCAACCTAGGAGGCCCACCAGAAAGACAGTACATTGTAAAGAAGTCAAGCTCAAGGGTGGAATGAAGGGCTTCCTTGGTCTGGGAGCTAGATCCCATTCCATCCCCAGCATAGCCCCATCTTCACTAAGGAGATGCCTCTGGAGATTACTACTTAAGCAGCCCCATTGTTTCTCAGCTGTTTCTCCACAGTCTTAGTATAGTCCAGCAGCACTACTTAAACTTTGTGTCAGCAGTCTGCTGAAGTCTATGGACCCCTTTTCAGAATGTTTATCACCTACATTTATGATACAAGAAAATGTTAAATTGTGAAAATAAAGATGTAAAATAATTTTCCCCATCCACATTCATAGACCGCCTGAAATCTATTCATGGACCCCAAGCTAAGATTCCCTGATGTAGATAGATAAGTGCACTACTGTTATCTGACCCAGTGACTCCATCAGTCCTTAATATTGGGTACTGCTAGTTTTCCTCTCATGGTGGACTTTGTCTAAAACCAATGGGAGAAGCCATCCTACTCCAGTTTCCCATACTGTCCCAAAGCAACTGCTGCCATTTCCACATAGGAGGATATGCTGAGTACCAAGGCATGAATAGAGATAACTTGGGTTAGCTGCCTGGCAGTAGTATTTCAGGGACCTATCCATTTTCCAACACCAAGTGAAGCAATCATCCTTCCCCTGTCATGTTTCTTCTTTCACTATATCCTTTTATTTATCAATTTCCAATTTTGGTAGGAATTGAGTGCCAGCCACCAACTTAGTAAGTTTTATGTTCTGGGAAAACTTGATGGCATTATCTGAACCTAGCTCTGCATGGCTGACAAACCATATCTGCTGATTAGAGACCAGGTGCTTTTAATGAATAACTCAGGATCTAGGTTATACTGACCAGAAACCCAGTCAGATCCAAAGATTGATGCAAGGAATGTAAGGAGTTGTCTTCTGTTACACATCTCAATCAATCCACATGTCTTAATCTGGAAACTGCCTTCTTGTTGGTCAATCAGCTGTTTCTTTGTTCCTTTTTTTGAAGCCTAAAAAATGTGTAATTTGTAGACACTGGGTGGGGAAGAGGGACATTGGCCAACCTTATTTCTGCTCTCCCCTTTAATGGATGACTTAATAGACTTCTTGGTTAAATTAACCCAGTTGAAGAATCTTTTGTCCTATCTCAGTGTCAAAGGTAGAGAAATGATCACACAAATCATTCATGTTTGTCTGGTAAAGTAGAGTTTATTGGAAGAAAACATAGGAACAGGACAGTTGTAATAATAGCCTTAGCTGGGTAGCCACCATGGAATCTCATTTTCCTGACTTTGGGCTTCACAATGGGTTTTATCAAATGCCAAATCTTTAATGTCACTTAGGACAAAGATACAAAGCTGAGTAACCTACAGGTTCTCTCCCCTTTAAGTTGCAGGCTTTCTATTTAAGGGGCAAAGGGTGGAATTTTCTAGCTAGAGTGGGCAAGGTCACTTTGAAATGTGTTAATTCTTTCTCTGCCCCATATGTAATATCACTATAGGAATTTGCTAGAAAGTAGGAGGAAATGGGAACCGAGGACATGTGGCACATCATACCACATGGACAGTCATGGAGTTAGCCCAGCCCGATAGTCTCCAAATGCCCAGAAAAGGCTTGAGACAACACCAATTGCTACAAACCCACATGCCTACTTTCTCATCCTTATACAATTATAATGATTTACATGCATATTAAAGATACTTGCAATTAAAATGTAACAAACAGGCTTTCCCCCCAAAAAAAAAACTCTATGTCAGTCAACAAATATCCTTAGTTACACAGTTAATTCACTGAATGTTGCAGAGAATATAAGATCCCAGTGTATGTTCTTTGATTACAAAAACAAAACCAAACACTTCAGGCAGAGCAAAATGCAGTCTCCAAGAGTTTTCCCTGCCCCTCTTCCAAAAGGAGGCTCTCATGCATATGTAATGAACATATGAAATTCTCTGAGGAACACAATCACAAAGATGACTTTCTAACAGTCCTCCAATCATTCAGGTTATGAAGCATTGAAGAAGGAGATGGACACTTGCCAAAGTCTGCAGCTTTGCCACTGTCATGGTAGATGACTTGCACTAAGTGTAAATGGAGGAGGGATTTCCTGTAGATGTAAGATTTCCACATAGAAGGATTTCCACCAGGATGTGAGCTCCTTGCTTTCTCTATTTCCCCAGCACTTGGGCACAGTGCCTGGCATATTGGAAATAACAAATGTCTGTTGGTTTGACTTGACTTGAAGGTACTGATCTCTGGGCACTCCCATCTGTGGATGATATTGTCCAATCTGATCGCATCCCACTCTGCTCCACCTGCCACCCCCTGAAAATCTGAAACTTGCAGGGCCTTCTCAGGAAGACCCATAATTATAAAAGAAGAGCTTGGATTAACAATTGATACTAGAAAATGGAAATGGATGAAAATTTTCTGCTGTCCAGACTATGACATACAGCTGGGTGGTTAGTCTATTGAATTACTCCATCAGAACACATTGCAGGAGCAGAAATTGTAGATGATAAGGATGTGGGCTCAGAATTGAATAGATAAAGACCAGGGCAGATGCACTTGGTAAAATTTGCACTGATATTAGAGATCCCATGCAATTTCCTGGCTTGTCAACATAAATGCTTTTTGCAAGGATGACACAGTGTTACACATACTGGAATACCATCATCTCCAAAGAAACAAAGCTGCAGATGACCCAAAGGAGATGGCATAAGTTGTAAGATATTTTCAGTGATGAGCTATGCTCAAGCAATGGTATAAGGGTTATCACTCAGGAAACATATAGCCAGAAATTGGGGTAGAGGGTTGGGAAGAGCAGCTTATGTGGTAAGAGTGAAAGATAACAGATGGACACTCCTTAGGGACTTACAAAATGTAAGAAACCAGAGGAAAGCCTCATAGAAGGTAGGCTGGGGGCCTCTATGGGATGACGGAAATGAAAATTATCAATGATGACAGTGTATAGATGGGCAGCAATCCATAGTGGTGGAAAAAATGCTTCTGTCAGTGAGACCACAGGTTCACTAAAAGCAGTAAAGGAAAAGTAAAAATGAGAATTTGCCCATGGCCAGAGGGACTTTTCTCTCTCAGACTTGACATCAGTTGAGGTCTAAATCATAACTGAAAATCTTCTCACTTTTACTGCATTTATAGCACTTCTCACTAGATAAACTCTCTGCTCTCTGGTAAGGCTTTCCCACATTCACAATAATTAATGAGCTTTTTTCTGCTTAAAAACAAACAAACAAACAAAAAAACATATTCCCTGATAGTATCTGCTTCAGCTAAAAGCCCGGTTACACTTATTATATTTCCCAGCTTCTTTCCTATGTGTTTTCTGATGCTCAGCAAGAGATGTGCTTTGGTTGAAGGCTCTGTCACATTGATTACATTTGTAGGGTTTCTCACCAGTATGGATTCTTTGATGTCGTGTAAGGTTCATGTTCTGGCTGAAAGATTTTCCACACTCATTACAGTGATATGGTTTCTCTCCAGTATGAGTTCTCTGATGTCGAGTAAGATTCATACTGTGAGTGAAGGCTTTCCCACATTCATTACACTTATAGGGTTTCTCTCCAGTATGAATTCTTTCATGTTGAGTAACTGATGAGCTATTGCTGAAGGCCTTACCACATTCACTACAATTATAGGGTTTTTCTCCAGTATGAATCCTCTCATGCTGAGTAAGAGATGAGCTATTACTGAAAGCTTTTCCACATTCATTACATTTATATAATTTTTCTCCAGTGTGAATTCTTTGATGTCGTGTAAGGTTCATACTCTGGGTGAAGGCTTTTCCACATTCATTACATTTATAGGGCCTCTCTCCAGTATGAATTCTCTGATGTTTAGTAAGACTTCCCTGCTGACTAAAGGCTTGTCCACATTCATGGCATACACAGAGTTTCTCTCCAGTATGAATTTTCTGATGACGAATAAGGCTTGTACTCTGGCTAAAGGTTTTTTCACACACATTACATTTATAAGGTTTCTCTCCAGTGTGAATTCTCTGATGTTGAATAAGAGTTGTATACTGGCTGAAGGTTTTTCCACATTCATTACATTCATAAGGTTTTTCTCCAGTATGAATCCTATTATGTAGAATAAGTGTGGAGCTATTGCTGAAGGCTTTACCACATTCATTGCATTTATAAATTTTCTCCCCAGTATGAAGTCTCTGATGTTGAGTAAGGTGTATATTTTGGCTGAAGGATTTTCCACATTTTTTACACTTAAAGGGCTTCTCTCCAGTGTGAATTCTTTGATGCTGGATAAGGCTTCCCTGTTGACTAAAGGCTTGTCCACAATCACCACACCCATAGGGTTTCTCTCCTGTATGAATTCTCTGGTGTATACTGCAAGATGAACTGTTGCTGAAGGTCTTCCCACATTCATGACATCTAAAGAATTTTTCTCCAGTATGAACTCTCTGATGTCGGATCAGGTTTGTGCACTGACTGAAGGCTTTTCCACATTCACTACATTTATAAGGTTTTTCACCTGTATGAATTCTCTGGTGTCTAACAAGGCTTGCGTACTGACTGAATGATTTCTCACACCCAGGACATTTATAGGATTTCTCTCCAATCTGAATTCTCTGATGTGGAGGAAGGTACGAGGTGTCACTCAAGGCTTTCCTACATACATCACAATCACAGAGCTTCTCTCCAGTATGACTTCTCTGATGTAGAGTAAGAGTTAAGTTATCACTGAAGGTTTTCCCACATTCATTATATATGTGGAGGTTCTCGCCAATAAGGGTTTTCTGATCTTGGGTAATGTCCCTCTGGTGGAAAGTTTTCCCAAATTCATAACATGCATAGGGTTTCTCTCCATTAAGGATTTTATGACACTGAACAACGTCTGAGGGGTAACTTAAAGTAATGCTGCTGCATTCATCACATTGACCAGGTTTTTTCCCTGAGGTGATCCTATCAAGTTGAATTAGGTCAGAATGTTGTTCAAAGCAAAGTGGATACGAATCATACTTAGGGAGACTCTTTCTGGCACTCTGTTGTGTCATAAGAATTGGGTCTGAACAGAAACTTCTCTCAAAGTTATTACATTCCTGACTTCTTGGCTCATCAGTTTTCTTGTGGGCAAATGGTACTTGCCTGAAATTTCTCTCCTGGCCCCCCTGCTGCCTCTTAAACCTGCCACCACATTCCCAGGACTCCCCCCAATTAGAACCCCAGGGACCATGCCAGGATTCTTGGAATGATTTTTCGATAGTGAAATAAGACTTTGAAACTGTTTCTTTGGTCTCAAACCTGGCCTCCCAATCTGAAAGAAACAAGAAAATGTAAATGTTCCTTTTTCCATAGTCAGTCATCAAGCAGTAAGCACTTATTAAGCACCCACTATGTGTGAAAAACAGTCCTAAATGCTGTGGAGACAGAAAAAGGCAAAAGACAAGCCCTGCTCTCAAAGAGTTCACAGTCTAATGGAAAAGACAGCATACACACAGCTATGCATATACTAGATATTTATGGGATAAATTTGAAATATACAATAGTGGGAAAGCATTAGAAGTGGGGGAGGGAGTTTAGAGGGACAAGGAAAGGCTACTACGGCAGGTCAGATTTGAACTGAGTCTTGGAGGATGCCAGAAAAACAAAGAGACAGAGGTGAAAAAGAATATTCTAGGCATGGAGGGCAGGAGGTGATTGAGAGGCATGGATTCCGGAGACAGAACATTAAGTTTAAGGAACAGCCATATGCTGAATTGAACATGAAGGGTGAAGGAGACATGAGAGTCCAGAATGACCCCAAGCTTGTGTTCCTGGGTGACTAGAAGGAAGGCAGTGCCCTCCCCAGCAAGCAGGATGGTGGGGAGTTGAGTGAGGCTGTGTGAGGAAAGAGAATGAGTTCAGTGTTTAGTTTCAGATGCCTATAGGATATTCAGTTCAAGATATCTAAGAGAAAGCTAGTGATGTGAGACTGGAGCTCAGGAGAGAAGTTAGGAGAAATGGAGGACAGCAGTGTCCCAAAAACCCAGAGAAGGGAGGGGACACGGCGAGAGGGAATTCAACAATGTCAAAAACTGTGCAGAGATCAAGAAGGATGAGCACTGAAAAGAAAAAAAAAAACATTCCCTTTGGCAGGTAAGAAGTCCCTGGTAACTCTGAGGTAACTTCGCGTGGAGGATGTCATCAGAGGCCAGACGGCAGAGAAAGAACGAGGCAGGGAGAGGTGACACTGATTGCAGCTATCTCAAAGAATTTGGCTGAGAAGGTGAGAACAGATACAGGATGAGAACCAGCCAAAGAAAGTGCAGACTTCTTAAGGAGGGAGAAGATATGGTTGTGTTTGCAGGCAGCAGGGAAGGAGCTAAGGTGTGGAGAGATTACAGATTAGACAGTGGGGAAAGTGGGGATCATTAGAGAAAGGGAAATCTCATGGAGAAGTGGGGAAAGATGGAGCCCAGGATGCATGGGGAAGCGTTTCCTTCGGGGAGAGGACCCATCTTCCTGTGACACACGAGTGAACGAGGAGATAGCAGCAGAAGGCATGTTGGTGATGTGAGATGAGGAAGGGGGAGAAGAGGAGATTTTTGTTAAATGGCCTTAATTTGTCCTCAGCTGCCAGGGTGGCAGGAAGGGAAGTGATGGGGCCTTGAGGAAGAACAGAAAGGTTTGGAATCACCAGGCTGAGTGGGAGTGTTGATCCATGAGGGAAGTATCGAAAGACTGTCTTGTGGCAGCAATGGTGCAGTCAAGACTATCTAACCTACATTTATAGCAGACCTCACCACCCTGGTTTTGTGACTCTCTGGTTGCATTGAGCAGCACATGAATAGTGGTGAAGACTGGATTGTGGGAGTAATGCAAGGCTGGAGTGTGGCAGGCATGATCAGTGACAGAATCCTGTGAGACAGGGGATAATGTCATCTTCATTTGATAGATTTCACAGGTAAGGAAACTGAGGCAGAGGTGAAATAACTAGCATCATGTGAGTAAGTATCTGAGGCTACATTTGAATGCAGGACTTCCTGACCCCCAAATCTCAACTGCCACCTAGCCAAACTTTAAAGACTTGTGTATATAAATTTTATTGTTCACATACCACTTCCAGGTTTAAAGTACGAACGATGTGCAGATAAGAAGAGGTCCTGCAAGACTGGACAAAGACCCGTGTCATGGCTACTCAAAAAGGGAACAGAGCAGAATCTGCTGGCTCTATGCCAGGGACCTTGACTCTGACTTCAGGTAAACGCCCAAGTCCATCACAATCTAGCCCTTCTTGCTAGTGGTTTTCTGAATCAGCTCAGATCTCTAGCCTCTGTGGCTTTGCATCCCCCAAGCCTAGCAGGCTCATCCTTTGACTTCTGCCTATCGGAATCGCCAACAGCCTTGAAGGCGCTTGAGGAAAGTGTTCTACCTGGGGTGCTTCACACTGCTTTTTCCCTTCTCAACTTATCTAATTTTAAATTACCTTTCCATGAGTCAAGTCTTCAAGGAGGATAGAAACTCATTTTCTGTTTTTGTTTCTGTATCTTCAGGGCCTTGCACAGTTGAGATACTTTATCAAAGCTTGTTGAGACAGATGGATAAAGGGCTGCCTAATACCATTACACAAAGCAGAGGCTGATGAGAATACAAAAAACCCTTGAATTTTGATTTATCGTTCTGTCACGTTCAACCCTTTGTGACCCCATTTGGGCTTTTCTTGGCAAAGATACTAGAGTCGTTTGCCATTTCCTTCTCCAACAGAACTAACGCATCCATTTTGTGAAAGGGTGAAGTGATTTTCCAAGGGTCACATAGCTAGAAAGTGTCTGAGGCTGGATTTGAACTCAGGTCTTCCTGACTTCATGCCCAGCACTCTATCCATTGAGCCACTGGCTTCCTCCTTGTAAGGGAATGTAAGTAAAATGATTTATCTTCAAAGAGTATTTTCTACAGAGTAGTTTGGGTGGAAACCAGATCATGGCACTTTAAGACAACACAACGGGAACCTAGCACATGGAGACAGCTGGACAGAGCTTCTCCACAGAAGGATTCCAGCAAGGAAGGACAAAATTGGAAGAAACAGAGTAGACAGAAGGATTTCCTTGTTCCTTTTAAGTACTGGGCAGCCTAAGGATCCTAAAAGGAGCAGGGATGTGAGACACCAATGAGACCAACAGGAAATGATCCTGGGAACAGTGCCTTTGAAGGGGGGGAGGCGGGAATTGATGAGCTGAAGGGGAAGCTGTACAAATAAGGAAGCACTAGTGTTTCTCAGAGACAGAGGGAATGATGATAGAGAAAAGGCCAGGAAAGTTCCTGACTCAGGCAAAGAATAAGTCAGTCAATAAACATCTATCACGCACCTATGATGGGCCAGGCACTGTGCTGAGGGCTGGGGATATCAGGAAAGGCCAAGAGAAGCCCTGCCCTCATAGAACTCACAGGATGATGGGGGACTTAACATGTGAACTCCTAGCTCCACACAAGTTATAGACAGGATGATCTTGGGAAAAACCACCGCAGGGCAGGTACCAGAATCGGAAGGTAATGGAATCAGAAGGCGACAGTCTACGAAAGGGCTTAGTCACAGCCTCGGACCCTGACCTGTCTGGGACCTTTAAACACAAGGCCCAGCACAGAGTCGGCACCTCAGAAACACTACTGGATTGAAGAAGAGGTCTCTTTTTAATTTTAAATTTATCTTTTCACAGGAAGTGCCTCCTCTGCTTCCCATCTTCCTTTCTAACTCCTATGCCCCCTCCCCCACACCCACTGAGAAAACAAGAAAAACAATGCCCCTGTTACAAAAACCACATGTAGCTAAATAAAACAAACCCCACATTGAGAAAACTTTATACACCCATACACACACACACACACACACACACACACACACAACACACATTCTAATTCTGCACTGTGTGTTTGAGGAGAGGTTTTAGACATGTCATGCCCCACTCACCCTGTGACCTGTTGCTTGCATTGACTCCCACCTACCTCAGATTCATCCCTCACCTGGAAAAATGCTGCTTGGTGCTTCTCTCTCCAGCATCCATGGTGTTTCACTTTGCTCTAATTGGAAGATCACATTTGGTTTGGAAACAGGATGTCCTGCTCATGAGGAAGAAGTAGGAAAATGCTGGGAACAGAGAGCCTTCTCAAAAGGGAATTCTCCTCTCTTTCTCCTCTCTTCCTCCTCCAGGGAAGGTAGATGTGGCAACAATGATACAAAGGGAGTCTGAATGACATCCGGGCAGGCCAAGGATGGGCCCCAGAGCTGAGATGGGATCATAATTAGGGCCTGTAGGTGAGACCCTTTCCCTAAAGATTCTGCTCTGAGCCACCTTCCCCCACTCCCTTAAGCAATTTCATTGCCTCTAATGGCATCAATGGTCGCCTCTCTCCACATCTCCACATGCTCTTTCCAGTGACCTCTCGATGTCCCAAACTCCAAACCCACACCTCCAATTGCCTACGGGATCCCCACCCAACGTGCTGCCACTCAAACACATCATGTCCAGAGCCAGCACTTAGCACAGTGCCCGGCACATACTGGGTGCTTAATAAATGCTTAGTTATTCATTAAATGATGGTCCCTCTCCCCCAGCTGTTTCTGACTTCATTATTTCTTCCAACAGCCCTGTGGTTCACTCAGTGTCTCATATTTGAATCTTTGATGTCACTTTTGACTTTTCCCTCTTCTATGTCTCAGCTACAAGTCCTGTCCCATTCACTCCTTCTTCTCTATTTCCATGGCCGCCTTCTTCAGAGAGGCCCTCATTACACCCACCTTGGCTACTGCAAGAAGGTCCTGACAGGTCATCCTGCCTATCACTTTCTCACTCCTCCAGTTTAGACTTTGCACCAATGTCAGACTTATTTTCCTTGTGCACAGGACTGGACACATAATTTCTCTACTGAAAATCTCTGCGCAGCTCCCTATTTGCTATTGAACAATATTCAAATTCCTCAGCCTGGCATTCAAGGTCCTCTAGATTTTGGCACCAGCCCATCTTCTTGACCTCATTTCAAACTCCCCTCCATGCACTCTGCCCTTCAGATGACGCTCACTGTCTGTGTCCCTAGTCCAGCCTCTACAATTTGGTTCCTCCATGTTTTCACAGCTCCAACTTGCCCAACATCTCCTCATCTTTGATGCTCAACTCAAATGCTCCCTGCTCCCAGAAGCCTTCATCAGTCATCTGACAGTAATAACCTTCCAGCCCTCAGACCTCAGAAAGCACTCTGCACCCTCCAAGGCACACTTATTGTGTAATATTTCACATGGGCAGTTTATGAATTCCAGTGAAAGAACATCATATAGCAGAACCAAATAACAAGAAATTGGGGTCAGGGGTTGTCTCCCCCAGCTATGCTGGGAGTCTAAAGGCAGCAGCCATGCTCGCCTAAACATGGGCTCCCCGTTTGTCTAGTGCAGCATTCTGTACCCAGATGCTTGATAATACCTGAGGAATGGACTGGATGCCTCATCTTCAGGCACCTGCACTGAGATGCCGGGCTAGTAGGAATGACGTGGGGGAACAGGGGATGGGGAATGCAAAGCCTTAGGAGTGGCCCCATAAGGGCTAAATTGTGACAAGTTCTAGATGGACAATGTCAAGACCTTTCATCTGGAAACAGTGGACACCAATGGCTTGTCTCTTACTCTTTTTTTTCCTTTCTTTTTTTCCCCTTTGGTGAGGCAATTAGGGTTAAGTGACTTGCCCAGAGTCACAAAGCTCGTGAGTGTTGTGTGTCTGAGGCCAGATTTGAACTCAGGTCCTCCTGACTCCAGGGTCAGTGCTCTATCCACTGCGCCACCTAGCTGCCCCCCTGTCTCTTACCCTTGAAGCATCACAAATATCTGGTCCTTGCTTGCCACCCCACAGCTGGTCTGTGCGCTTTGGACACCTCACAGGAGGCAATACGATCCTAAGGGGCAGATTCTGAGTCAGAGAATAAAGCTGCCCTGGGGATGGCTAAACCAACAAGGTTCTTGAATGTAACAGAAAGTTGCTGAACTATAAGAAACAACAATCATAATGAATACAAAGAAGCATGGAAAGATTTCCATGAACTGATGCAGAGATAAGAAAACAATCTATACAATGACTACAACAATGTAACTGGAGAGAAAGGCCAAGACAAAACAAATGAAACAAAATGTTGCAAAAACATAACAAACTTGGCCTCAAAGAAGAAGCATGAAAAGACTTTTCCCCCTCCCAGGCCTTTGCAGAAGCTGGGATTCATAGGTGTGGGACACTGCAAATAAAATCCTACTTTTTGAAGGTGTCAACCAATTTTGCCAAATTTTTTCCCTCTTTTTCTTTTTTTGTGAGGCAATCGGGATTAATTGACTTGCCCAGGGTCACACAGCTACCAAATGTCATTTGTTTGAGGCTGCATTTGAACTCAGGTCCTCCTGACTACAAGTGTTCTATCCACTGCACCACCTAGCTGCCCCACCTTTTTCTTTTTAAAAATTCTTTATTATAAGGGATGTCTATCTGGAAAGGGGGAAAGGAGTGGGATGCAGAGGGGAATCTAGACACTGATGAAAATCTATGTTTTTAAAGGAAGAGGCTGTCTTACCCAGGGCGACCAGATTTCTATAGTTTTCCAGCATCACGTCTCTGTACAGGGCCTTCTGACCCGGCTCCAGCAGCTCCCACTCCTCCCAGGTGAAGTCAACAACCACGTCCTTGAATGTCACCAATTCCTGAAACATCAGACGGATTCCTGCTCATCCTAGCCCCTGGCCCCCTCACACAGCCACGGGGCAGAGCGGAAGCTGGGCAGCCGTTTCTCACAACGCTGGGCATTCAGAACGCCAGTAAAACCGAATCACACTCTGAAGGCAAATCTCTGATCAGAGACGACACAGAACTCTCTCTCCAGGACTGATCTAAAATCATTCCACAGGAATATGCATCTAGAAGGGGCAGCTAGGTGACACAGTGGATAGAGCACCAGCCCAGGAGTCAGGAGGACCTGAGTTCAAATCCAGCCTCAGATACCTGATCACTTCATACTAACTAGCTGTGTGACTCTGGGCAAGTCACTTCACTCCAACTGCCTGGTGCAAAAAAAAAAAAAAAGAAATATACATGAACAGCTTCAGGGACCCTCTAGTCAAACTACCTCATTTTACAGGTAAGGAAACAGGCTCTAGAAGGATAAGTGAATGGACCAAGGTCACCCAGGTCTAGGAGGTGGCAAATCCCAGCCACCTAATTTGATTTCAATCCAGGTCTTCTCACTCTGTCCCATGGAAGAAAATGGGGATTTCTTTATAATTTCATAATGACAAACGTTTACCTTGATTGCTTCAACAACAACCATGAAAAAGGGAAGTACCTCAGGGGGAGACTGTAACTGAATCACATCGACCTTGACCTTCTTGCTCTAAACGAAAGCAGAGACCCAAGGGAAATGCAGCCAAAGGAAAGGGCGTTCACATCTTGCTGCACAGGGAGCAGCTGGTTTTCATCAAGTAACCAAAGGCAACAGGAAACAATACTCCCCTGGTGGGGCTCATGGTAATACTAATAATAATAACACTAACAATAATAACTAGTATTTATATAGCACTTTAAGGGTGGCAAAGAAGCTTTGCAAATCTTATCTCACAACTATTAATCCTTACAACCGCCCTGGGAGGTAGGGGCTATCATTATTCTCATTTTACAGTTGAAGAAACTGAGGCACACAGTGGTAAAATGACTTGCCCAGGGCCACAGCTAGTAAATATCTCAGGCTGGACTGATCCCAGGGCACCCTGACCCCAAACTCTACCCAGTGCCCTACCTAGCTCCCTCTAAACCCCCCCCCCCCAGGGAGATAACTGAGCTTAGGTGCAAACCCCCCTGTAGAAAATGAGGGGCTATAGGGCAGCTCTGGCAAGCCTCCCAAGTCTGTCTGACACTCAGTGACTTCACTGTGATGGTGGGCCCTGGGAAACCCAGCAAGGCCAAAGATTTGCAGCTACTCCCAGGCCTTGGGGATGGAATACTGGGCCCGGAGCCATGAGATGTGGAAGTCCCTTCACCTCGGGGTCTCGATTTCCTAATCTGTAAAAGGGGATGGAACCATCTATAAACCTATGAGATCAATATCTTGTGTATGAAGACTAATTTTTTTCTTTTTTTTCCCCAATCAATCAGCCAACCGTCAAGCATTTATTAAAGTACTTAATATGTCCCAGGCACTCTGCTCGGTCCTGAGAAAAAAAAGACAAGAGCAGCCTCTGCCTTCAAGAGGCTTACGGTCTTTTTTTTTTTTACATTTAATTTTTAATCTATTTTTTCTCAATTACATGTAAACCAAAATTTTTAACATTCTTTTTTTTTCACATTTTGAGTTCCAAATTCTCTCCCTCCCTTTCTCCCTTTAGGGCAAGCAATTTGATATAGGTTATACAGGTGCAGTCATGTAAAATATTTCCATGTTAGCCATTATACAAAAGAAAATACAAAGAAAAAGGAAACAAGAAAAATAAAGAAAGTCCAAAAAGTCTGCTCAAATCTGCATTCAGACTCCATCAGTTCTTTCTCTGGAGGTGGAGAGCACTTTTTATCATGAGTCCTTTGGAACCGTCTTGAATCATTATCCTGTCAAAACTAATTTCTTAAAGAAATCACCTGGTAATCAGGGGACCAGAAGAGCACCAAATAACATCATGTAACCAAACTGATTATCTTTTTAAAGACAAGAAGTAACCCATTACTGCTGGGGTGCCTGGTAGCAGTAGCAATATCTCAGCACCTTCCCCCACTAGGTGAAGTCTGTTTTTCTGGAAAAGGTCCGATGGGCTGGGGGACTGAGGCCTGGACACTTGGCCTGGTCACTTCATCTACCTGACTTTCTGATAAGGGGTTGCTAACCTGAGGTCTGTGAATTTAAAAAAATATATTTTTGACAACTCTATGTAAATATGATTGGTTTCCTTCTAAAGGCAGCTAGGTAGAGCAGTGGCCTGGAATCAGGAAGATCTGAATTCAAATCCAGACATGGACACCTACTAGCTGTGTGACCATGCACAGGTCACTTAACCTCTGCCTCAGTTTCTTCATCTGTAAAATGAGGATCATAATAGCACCTTCCTTCCAGGGTTGTCATGATGATAAAGTTAGATAACAATTGTAACATTCCAAGCACCACAGAAATGCTAGTTAAGAGCTACTATTATTATTATTCCCTGTGTGTCATTTTATGCATGTAAAAGCCTTCTGAGAAAAGGTCTATGGGCTTTAGCAGACTGCTTATCGAGGGGGCCAAAGACACAAGAGAAGTCAAGGAACTCCTTCCCACTCTAACGACCAAGGCTCTCAATCACACCCGAGATAGTCAGGAGTCTTCTGGGGTAAGACAACTGAGGTTCAGGCACCTGCATGGGACCTGGCTGGCCCGGGTGGCAGGCAGTGAAAGTGGTGTACACATTTTGAGAACTGAGACAGTATTTCAGGACAGAGTCAAAGCCAACTTACCTGTGACCGACCACTGGTCAGGGCACCAGAAGGCATTGCTTCGTCTGCTGCTTCCTCCTCCTTCAGGGTCCTTTTCGGGGGAAGGGCAGAGTCCTGAGAAGGCAGAGCTGCAGGAGGAAGAGATGCCATGAGAGAGACCAAGACCAGCGTGTAGCTCCCCAGCTCCCCAGCTCCCCAAGGTGGAATTCTCGCCAGAGAATCTGGTCTGACTCTCATGAGCAGAACACAAGACGAAAGCAGGGCTGAGGAATATGCGTGCTGCCTTGCGGCATGAGAGAAGGGTTCTGGACTTCAATACCTGCTAGCCCCGTTGCCCCTGTGGTCTCAGAGGATTTCAAGAGCCCCTAGCATTACCCTCCAGAGATGTAAGGAGCTACATGGTGGTGTGGTGATGCAGCTGGCCTTGCAGTCAGGAAGCCCTCCGTACGAGTCCCTTCACTGACATACCGCTTCTGGAGCACAGCAAAGTCACGATCTCTCAGTGGCCAAGGCACATCTCCCAGACTCCAAGCTACCTATGAGCTGTGAGCCCCCAGTGACTGCTCATGGAGAGTTTCTGATTTTGATAACATGAGAGGCGGGGCTTGGCCAAAACCATGTTGAGTGGCAATGCTACTTGGTGGGAATGGCCCGGAGCTACAGGGGCCACAGGGAGAGCTGAATGCCAGGCCCAGCTGGGGGATGGGATGCCTCACCAACCCAGGGTGCCAAGGCTAGAGCTTCTGGAGGAGAAGGTTCACCAGCAAGACTGCCCTGGTCCCTGCTCACCATCTCAGGAAAGGCTGAAGGCAGAGCCACCCCAACCACAATCCTGAGCACAAAGAAGGAAGAGGAGCATCGGGCTGAAGGATGGGACCCAAACGGGGCTCCCAAGAGTGTCCCCCTCCCCAGGAAAGACCTTCTGTCACCTCAGCTCTTTGACAAAATTTGTCTTGATATCTTTTGGTATTGATGCCAACTACATCTGTCACGTTATCTCCCGCAGGGAACCATCCCTTTTATTAAGACTTAAACAAGGGGCAGCTAGGTGGCGCAGTGAACAGAGGTCCAGCCTTGGAGTCAAGAGTTCAGGAGTCTCAGACACTTGACACTTACTAGCTGTGTTACCCTGGGCAAGTCACTTAACCCTGACTCCTCACCAAAAAGAAAAAAAAAGACTTAAACAAAGGGACGAAAGTAAAGCAAATGTCAAAGCTCATCAGCTCGTACAAAGTCTGACATTATATGCAGTTTCCCATGCTTCTGGCTCTCCACCCCTGCAGAGAAGTGGTCCCTCCACTAGCTAGTCACAGGACAATTATAAAGATGTAATACGCACCCACACCCACACCTGTGGGAGCAATATGCGTAAGGTGCCTTGAAAATCATATGTGTGTGTGTGTGTGTGCGTGTGTGTGTATACACACACACACACACATATATGAAATATATACATATGAATATATATTCATATATGAAATATATACATATGTGGTATATCACACATACAGCTATTATTCCAATATTAAAGAGAATAGCCCAGATGGACCTGTATGGGGTTTAGTAGCTGGAGCAAACTGACCCTGCAGTGGGACTCTACCTGAAGAGATCAGGACAAGCAAAGAAAAGGGAAAAGAACCTATCTGTCCAAAAATATCTCTAGCCACCCTATTTGTGGTGGCCAAGAACTGGAAACAGAGGAGATGCCCATCCACTGGGGAATGGCTGAACAAGCTGTGGCCTTTGATTGTGCTATAAGAAAAGACAAAGTCTGAGGCAGGTAGGTGGCGCAGCGGATAGAACACCAGCCCTGGATTCAGGAGGACCTGAGTTCAAATCCAGCCTCAGACACATAACACTTACTAGCTGTGTGACCCTGGGCAAGTCACTTAACCCCACTGCCTAGCAAAAAAACCAACCAAACAAACAAACAGAAAACAAACAGAAAAGACAAAGGGGACGACTTCAGAGAAGCCTGGGAAGCTTCGTGAGACTGATGCAAAGTGACATGAGCAGAACCAGGAGCAGCGGCAATATCGTAAGGATGATCAGACTCAGAAGCCTGAGCTGCTGTGATTAGGAAAACGATCCAAGGACCTCTCTGCCTCCAGGGTAAGAAATGATGAACTCTGAGCGCAGAGTAAAGCGGACTTTGTTAGTTTCTTGTTTTTCTTGTTTATTTTGTTTTGTTTTGAACCATGGCTAAAATAGAAAACATTCGTCATGACTTCACATGGATGAGTATTGCTTGCCTTCTTAATGAATGGGAGAGAGGCAGAAGGGAGACAATTTGGAACTCAAAATTTAAAAAAAAAGATGTTTAAAAAAAAGGAATTTGAGGGAAAAGAAAGAAATGAAGGATCAGAGAAAGGAGTGGCCTCCAGGGCAAGTCTTTCCCTCCTCCCTACACACTAGGGAGCATCAGCTTTCCTACCGATCCTCCCTCAAACCTCCCAAGCTCCCACGACCTCCAGACCACCTCAGCCACCCAGCAATGTACCCACTGCTGACGTCACCGTCCCCTCACCTGGTCACAACCTGTCATCATCCCAGCCCTCCCCGTCCCTGCGATCTGCCCATCCTGTGGCCTTCTCCAAGCCCTCGGTCATCTCCCAAGCCTTCTCGTTCCCTTCTTTTCCCCATCTTGACCCCTTGGTGAACTGGCTCAACACGACATTGCTCTCCTCCCAAGTGAGGGCCCCCTTTGTCTACACCTGACCTAGGGTGGCCAAGCCTCAGCTGGGCTCCGTCTCACTCTCCTCCGTCCATGTGCTGCTGGACTGAGATGGAGAGAATCGAGCCACTGTCCTGATGGACTCCACCCCAAATCTGTGTTTGTTACAAGGGCAAGGGGGAGGCGGTGAGGAAGGAAGGCAAAGCATCACTGGGCAGCGCCAGAACGTTTATGGACTCTGGAGGCAGAGGTGCTGGGTTCAAATCCTGCCTTTGAACCTTACCAACAGGGTGACCATGAATGAAAGCAGCCTTTGGGGGTCCCCCCCCGGCTCCCATAATGCTCACCTCTCTTCCCAAATATTCCGGCCTCCATAGGCACCCCCACCGTGCCTCTTCGGGCCTGACGTGGGTTCAGGAGGGGCATCTGTCCTCAGACACCTGGGTCAAAGGAGTCTGCCAGGACAGATCCTTCCCTGAGCTGGTTCCCCAGGGCTCAAAAACAAGGGCCTCTTTAGCTGAGACCCGCCCTCAGGCTTCCAGACTCTGCCTTCCCAGCAGGAAAACCCCTCTGATGCTCCCAGGAAAGGCCTTGGTGGAGCTGCTGCGGTCAGCAACGGGGCCGAGTCTGCCACAGGGCTCACTCTGCAGGGGAGGGCACGGGGTTCAGAGTCAGAAGACCTGGGTTCAAATTCTGGCTCCGTCATGTGTCTGTTTCTTCTCGGACTTGTTTCCTCTTCTGTAAAACAAAGGAGTTGGACCAGATGACCTCGTGTCCCTTCTAGTTAAAATTTGGTAACCTTACGAGATGGTCAGCATCATACCACATGCACATGCATGTCTGCTGGCACACACGTGTTATATGTGTGAGTGCCAGCATGGTATAATGGGAAGCAAACCCACTGCCCGCTGGCCTTACACTGCTGAGATCTGGGTTCAGATCCTGTCCCTGCCACTTATTACTGCTATCCCTGGAAGCAAGTCAGTCTCCCTGTCTGGGCCTCAGCTGAGGTGGGCAGGAAGGCTCTTCTAGGACCCCAAGCATGTGACAAGCTGTGCTCATTTAACACTCCTTCACCAAGGTTTCATTCCTATTCACTGTGGGCCAGCCCCCGGGGTGCCAGCAAGCCTGGGTTCAAGATCACAGGGCCTTCATCTGAATCCTGGGAATGGGAACAGTGATGGAAGCAGGAAGACCCGAGTCCAATGGGGCCTCAGACAGGTGCGGGCTGGGTGACTCTGGGCAAGTCACTTCACCACTAGCTGCCTCAGTTTCCCCATCTGTACAACGAGGCACCTCCCTCCCAAGGCTGCTGTGAGGAATCAAGGTCCAGAGATCTGTAAAGTACACACCCAAAGGGCCACAGCCACACCAGCTGCGATCATTTCCTCAGCTCCTGACCGAGGGACAGAAGGAGGCTGGGCGGTCCAAGGAGGGAGAGGACTGCGGGCACAGGTGGCCCGGGCTGCTCAGGACCAGGAAGGGCAGTGACCAGCCCCCCTGGCCCCGCCTCCCCCGGAGCTGTCCAGCTGCTCCCCAGCCCCCCCTGCCCCCCATCCTCAGCAAGCCAGCCCAGTCCCTCGCCCCCCTCCTCCAGATGCTGTCACTCTTCCTCCGGGGAGATGTGGGGTTGGGCGATATTTACGCTGAGAGCCAACATTTATACAGCACTTAACTGCATGCCAGGCACTGTGCTAAGATCTCATCGGGTCCTCCCAATCACCAGGGGAGGGAGAGAGGGAGGGGCTGCTGGCATCCCCACTTTACAGATAGGGAAACTGAGGCAGGCAGGACCACACAGGCAGAACACGCTCAGGACTCCCTGACTCCAGCAAGACGCCAGGCCAGGGGGCTGCTCCCCCTCCCGTGTTACAGGGAAGAGGGCGGGGAGCCCTGCCTCCCCCTCTGCCCCTCGGGGGGCCTGGTCCAGCTCCCACACTCCAGCCCTTCCCCGTGTCACACACACGTGCACATGCAATCCCACTCACAGATGCTCCGGCCCCTCCCCCTTACATACATTTACACACATGCACACACTCACCAGCCCCGCCCCCGTCAGATACTTTTGTCAACATGCACATTCACTAGCCCCCAATCCCTTCTCTGTCACGCACACTTGCACGTGCATTCACACTCTTGTACCAACAAGCACACACACTCAGACACACAGCCCCCATGCACACACCCTGCACACACCTTGCACACACACTGCACCACCCCATCCCCCGTCACACAGATTTGCACCCAAGCACCGGTCCCAACCCTCCTCTGTCTTGCACAAGCAATCCCACACTCAGACGCTTGCACGGACATTCCCATGCTCACTAACCTGGCAGGGTACCTGCAAGTCTTTGGCCAGACTGGTAAGGAGGAGGAGGGACTCCCTCGCCGCGCTGGGTGGGGCCACGCCTGCGCACTGACTCCCTCCGCACCTCTCTGCCCTGCCCACGATCAACCAGCAGGAGCCCAAGAACAAAGGGCTGAAAAAACCCCCCGAGTCCCCTCCGGGCAGCTGCGCCTGCGCACCTCGAGATTCCCGGCATGCCCTGGGGTTCCGCCTAGGCCACCGGAAGTGCTGCGGCGTGAGTGACGCCAGGGAAATGGAGTCCGCAGAGGGGGCGCTCCCGGCCAGACCCGGTGGCCAAATGCTGAGCCGCTAGATCCCGGAGGGCGTCGGGTTCTTTTAGCTCGTTCCTTTATAAGAGCACCAAGCGCTGCAAGGAGGGCCTGGGGAGCTGGGAGCAGGCATGCCAGCTCTCCCTGTCCCTGGTGTTCTCAGGGCCACAACCGGAATTGATCAAAGCCCGGTGCTGTCCAGCCTGTAGGAAAGAACCTCTGGGAACGTAGCTCTGGAGGTGCTCAGAGCATCTTCATCGGGTCAAGGTTGGCATCAGGGACGATGAATTCCGCATTCATTGACCCATTCAGCATGCTCTAGACTGCCAGCACCTGTGCTGGGTGTTGGGCAGACAGAGGCAGAAACCACGAAGTTCATTTTTTTTAATATAAATTTATTTATTTGCAGTTTTCAACATTTATTTCCACAAGTTTTTGAGTTCCAAATTTTCACCCAGTCTCACCCTGCCCCCACCCCTAGATGGCATACATTCTGAATATCCCTTCTCCTAGTCTGTCCTCTCTTCTTTCTCTCCCCCCATCTCTTATCCCCTTCCCCTTCTATTTTCCTGTAGGGCAGGATAGACTTCTGTACCACATTTCCTGTATTTCTTATTTCCCGATAGCATGTGAAAACTTTTTTTTAAACATATGTTTATAAAACTTTAGGTTTCAAATTTTCTCTCTTCCTCCCTCCCCACCCACTCTCACTGAAAAGGCAAGCAACTCAATATAGGTTGTACATGTGCAGTTATGCAAAACACTTCCATAGTAGACATGTTGTGAAAAACTAACTCTATTTCCCTTAATCCTATTCTGCCCTCCCATTTATTCTATTCTTTCTTTTGACCCTGTTCCTCCTCAGAAGTATTTACTTCTGATTACACACTTTTCCAATCTGCCCTCCTCTCTATCATCGCCCTGCTCTCTTGTCCCCTTCTCCCCCTATTTTCTTGTAGGGTAAGACAAACTTCCATAACCATTTGAATGTGTATGTTATTCCCTCCTTAAGCCAAATCCTATGAGGATAAGATTTACTCATTCCCTCTCACCTTCCCTGCTTCCCCTCCACTGTAAGAGACTTTTCTTTTCTGTTTTTTTTGTGAGATAATTTACCCCATTCTACCTCTCCCTTTCTTCTTCTCTGAATAATCCTCCTCATCCCTTAATTTTATTCTCCAGATATGACCCCTTAATCTTCAACTCACCCTGTGCCTTCTATCTATCTATCTATCTATCTATCTATCTATCTATCTATCTATCTATATACATACATATAATTTTTTCCTCCAACTACCCTAATACTGACAAAGGTCTCATGAGTTATAAATATCATCTTTCCATGCAGGAATGTAAACAGTTCAATCTTAATAAGTCTCTTATGATTTCTCTTTCCTGTTTACCTCTTCATGTTCCACTTGAGTCCTGTATTTGAAAGTCAAATTTTCTATTCAGCTCTGGTCTTTTCATCAGGAATGCTTGAAAGTCCTCTATTTCACTGAATGACCATTTTTTCCCCTGAAGGATTATACTCAGTTTTGCTGGGTAGGTGATTCTTGGTTGTAATCCTATCTCCCTTGCCCTCCAGAATATTATATTCCATGCCCTGCAGTCCTTTAATGTAGAAGCTGCTAAATCTTGCATTATCCTGATTGTGTTTCCACAGTACTTGAATTGTTTCCTTCTGGCAGCTTGTAATATTTTCTCCTTGACCTGGGAACTCTGGAATTTGGCTATAATATTCCTAGGAGTTTTCCTTTGGGGATCTCTTTCAGGAGGAGATCTGTGGATTCTTTCAATTTCTATTTTGCCCTCTGGTTCTACTATATCAGGGCAGTTTTCCTTGATAATTTCTTGAAAGACGATGTCTAGGCTCTTTTTTTGATCATGGCTTTCAGATAATCCAATAATTTTTAAATTCTCTCTCCTGGATCTATTTTCCAGGTCAGTTGTTTTTCCAATGAGATATTTCACATTGTTTTCTAATTTTTCATTCTTTTGGATTTGTTTTACAGTGTCTTGATTTCTCATAAAGTCACTAGCTTCCAATTGCTGTATTCTAATTTTTTTTTCAGATCCCCAAACTTAACTTTATTTTTTTTAATTTTTTTAATTTTTTAATTTTTTTTTCCATATGCTTTTGAGTTGAAAGTTTTTCTCCCTTTTTCTCCTCCCCCACCCTCCCCAAGACTGCGCACAATCTGACATAGGCTTTACATTTACATACCCATTAAACATATTTTCACATTAGTGAAGTTGTAAGTAAAAATTAAAACCAATAGGAGGAACCATCAGAAAGATGAAACAAAACTCAACAGAAGGTAAAAATAAGTGAGAGTGATTCGACTTCCATAGTTCTTTCTTTGGATGTGGACAGCATTTTCCATCCCGAGGCCTCTGTAGATGTCTTAGATCCTCATAATGCTGAGAAGGGTTCAGTTTAACAATCTTAGTCATTGCATAACGTGGGTGTTATTGTGTACAAAGTCCTCCTGGTTCTGCTCACTTCACTCAGCATCAGACCATATAAGTCTTCCCAGGTTTTTCTGAAGTCAGCCTGTTCATCATTTCTTATAGCACAATAGTATTCCATTATATTCATATACCACAACTTGCTCAGCCATTCCCCAATGGATGGGCATCCTCTCAATTTCCAATTCTTTGCCACCACAAAAAGAGCTGCTATGTATATTTTTGTACATGTGGGTCCTTTTCCCATTTGTTTGATCTCTTTGGGATATAGCCCTAGAAGTGCTATTGCTGGATCAAAGGGTATGCATATTTTTGTAGCCCTTTGGGCATAGTTTCAAATTGTTCTCCAAAATGGTTGGATCATTTCACAATTCCACCAACAATGTATTAGTGTTCCAATTTTCCCACATCTTCTCCAACATTTATCATTTTCCTGTTTTGTCATGTTGGCCAATCTGATAGGTGTGATGTGGTACCTCAGAGTTGTTTTGATTTGCATTTCTCTAATCAATAACGATTTGCTCTATTCTAATTTTTAAGGAAGTATTTTCTTCAGTAGTCTTTTGGACTTCCTTTTCCATTTGGCCAATTTTTCTTTTTAGGCATTTTTCTCCTCATTGGCTTTTTGGACCTCTTTTGCCATTTGGGTTAGGCTATTTTTTAAGGTGTTAATTTCTTCAGTATTTTTTTGGGTCTCCTTTAGCAAGCTGTTGACTTGTTTTTCATGATTTTCTTGCATCACTCTCATTTCTCTTTCCAGTTTTTCCTCTGCTTCCCTTACTTGCTTCTCAAAATCCCTTTTGAGCTCTTCCAAGGCCTGGGACTGATTCATATTTTTCTTGGAGGCTTTGGATGTAGGAGCTTTGACTTTGTTGTCTTCTTCTGGTTGTGTATTTTGATCTTCTTTGTCCCCAAAGTAAGATAATATAGTCTGACTCTTTTTGCGCTGCTTGCTCATGACCCTGGCCAATTACTTGAGTTTTAAACTCTTTGTTAAGGTAAGAGTCTGCTTCCAATGTGGAGAATGTACTGTCCCAAGCTTCGGGAGGCTTGTACAGCTGTTTTCAGAGATACTTGTAGGTACCTGTAAATTTTCAGTTCTCACGAGGTGGTATGATAAGGGGCGAGGTGTTTACTCCTTTCCTGGCCTGTGACCACAAGTATTCCTTTCTGTCCTGTAACTGTGAGGAGGGGTTCCTCTCTACAGCCACTACAAGCTTCACCATGCCAGCATTCCTCCTCACCCCAGCACCACCACCCAGAACTGTGACCCAGATCCAAACACGTGCAAAGCAAGAGATTCCTGCCTCAGCACTGGCAAAGAGATCCCTGCAATCCCTGTCTGATCAGCCACTGGATTCCCCCTCAGTCTGTGGGCCGGAAGCTTGGGAAGCAGCTACCCCCCCCAGGACCACTCTCTTGGGGAATGAAGCTGAGACCCTGCCTCCCTTTCTCAGTACCGACAGAAACAGACTTTTCCCACTGACCTTCTAAGTTGTCTTTGGCATTAGTGGGTTGAGGAGTTTGGAAACCTCCACAGCTGCCCATGATTCACTCCACTGAGGCCTGCTCCAGGTTTGCTACGGCCTGTGCTCCCAGCCTGGCACAATACACCTTTCTGATCAATCATCCAGGTTGTCTTGGGCTGGAAATTTGTTTCACTCTGTCTTTTTGTGGGTTCTGCTGCTTCAGAATTTGTTTAGAGTCATTTTTTATGAGTATTTGGAGGGGTTTAGAGGACAGCTTAAGCAAGTCACTGCTTTCACTCCACCATCTTGGCTCCACCCGAAGTTCATTTTCTGATTGTTTTTGGACAGGTCCCAGGGAGTTCAGGGAAAAGGAGGCTCTGGAAAGGCTTGGGATGAAAGTCACGTTAAGCTGACGTGTCAGCTTCTCCTCTAGGGCGATGTCTTGGATCTACTACTTGGAGTCGTAGAATTATTGAGAATTAGGGCAGCTTGGGGAAGCAGTGCCCACAGCACCAGCCCTGAAGTCAGAAGCACCGAGTTCAAAATGGCTGCGTGACCTTGAGTCAGTCATTCAACCCTGTTTGCCTCACCTTCCTCATCTGTAAAATGAGCTGGAGAAGGAAGCGGCAAACTGTTCCAGTATCTTTGCCAAGAAAATACCAAATGGGGTCAAGAAGAGTTGGACAGGACTGAATAACAACATAATTTTTTGACAATGTAAATGGAAAGGGAAAAAAAAACAAAACAAACCATAAAATTGAATGCTGTATATATATCATAATGACAAAATCTTGCCCTGAAGAATAGTTGAGAAAAGGTACCATTTTGTAGACATGGAGGACTATGGCTGTGGAATATTGCATATGCCCCTAGAAACCATTGGTGTGTTTTTTGTTTTGAATTTTCTTTTCTTTTTTTTAAACCTATGTTGTAAGGTGTAAGGTTTGGCATCAGCCTAGATATTTGCTTCACCCCACTTAAAATGAGTTGCCAAACGATGCCTTTTAAAGGTCCCAAGGAATAATTCATCTTTGAAATTTTTGTTTGCATGAAACTCTGTGGAGTTTGGTAGTATACCATAAACTCATCAAAATAGAAAGATATCCAGATTATAATTTAGAAATGAAAGAAATTTGCTTATTCCTTTTTTACATATTTGGTTTCCAATCAATTTTTTGTATCTTAGTTTTCAGTTAATTTGTATAACTGTCTTTCATTTTAGCAATCTCCAATATGGCCAGCGATGAAAACAGAGAAAAAAGAGAGATTTGTGCTCTTTTGAGGTTTCTTTTAAGCTTATTTTTTTATAGCCTGTTTCTTTTGGTTGATCATGCCAAAAGAAAAGGAATAAATAAAACACCTGTTAGATACGGGTTAGCACAAAGGACAAATAGCACAGCACAGACAAAACCGACATTTATGTACTATTCTCTTAAGGATTTTCCTAACTGCATAGGGTCCTTTTTTAAAAAGTAATTCCTAAACTTAGTTTTATCATTTACAAAATGGACACACACAGAGCATATAACAAGACACAAGATTCAATCAAGCCTGAACTTCTCCCAAGTTTTTCTCTAAGAGATTTTGAAGTCAAGATCTTCCCTGTTTCCTCTATTAAGTACAGAACTTATGACCATCTTGTGGCTGCGGTCCTGCTGTGAGCCTAAGGTAATTCTTCCATTTCCTAATTATGTTCATGCTTTTAGAATCTCACCAAAAAAATGTAATTTAGTAACAACACCAAGTTGCTTTAGTGTAATTTGCCAGTTGGGTTCACCCATTCAAGGTGCACTTTGTTTTCGGAACAAGTCCCTAACAGACAGAAGAGCTGGTTGAAGTTCCATTACTCTAAGACTCTTTCCCAAAGTAGAAGCACAAGAAGCAAAGCTGAGAATGATGAAGAATTTAGCAAGTTCAGCAGTTCATTTGTTCTAAGCAGGATTGGGAGACTGTTCAATAAAATTCCATAGCTTTCTAAGTGACCAAAAGTTCCAGGCTTTGGCCAAAACAATCCTGCAAACGCTTTGTCTTCTCAAATCAAACTATCCACAGTTCAGCAGCTCTTCCTTTACACCTGCCCAGATAGGGAGTCCGCCGCTGTCCCAACGGGGATCCTGTAGAAGGCACTTCTCCTCTTATGCATGGCCCCATCTGTCCTGGGGGGTGTCCCCGACTGGGAGCGGCACTCCTCAAAACAACATCTCCTTGGAGAAGTGGACTGCATTCCTGAGGACCCGCCTCATTGGCTATTCCATCTGAGAAGTCCCCCACTGTTGATGCTATAGATGGCCCCCCTTCAGTTATGGATCCTGAGAGGCGGTCTTCTACCCACCTGTGTTCTCCCTCAGATATTCCCCCTGGACAGGGAACTCACCCTTTTCCCAGGCCCTCAAAATAAAATGAGGGAGGTTATTTCCAGCCCACCTGAGTTCTGTCTATATGGGTATCTTTCCTACAGCTAACATTGTAATATTCAGGGATTCATTCTGGCAAATTATCCAAAACTTCCTATTCTTAATTTCTGGGATTAATCTCTTGGATCCTAAAACCGGACAATTAGGGCTCAAAGGTTCTCTCTAAGTGAATATTCAGCAAAATTTATACCATCTTTCCTTCACAACTTCTCAAAAACGTAGCTCTGATCGTCAGTTACTGACTTAATCCTAAACAAAACATCAACAGGCGATCACAGTCAGGAGACTTATCTGAAAACTAAGTTTATTACAAGAACAATGTATATGCATGTGGAACCCAAAGGGTTCCCCATCTCTGCAGAAGTTTCCATTGTTATAATAGCTGGACAAAGGGAAGAGGGGATACCAGGAAGGGGCATGACGTCGGAGGGGGAACAGTGCGGCAAAGGTGGGAAAAAAGACCATTCTCCATGGGAAGGAGCAAGGTGAAGACAAAAACCTCATTCTTTCCCCTAGGGAACTGGCTAGACTATGAAGATAGGAAGATCTGCTATCTGCAAAGTACCCCAGCTACACAAGCATTATCCCAGCCTGGCAAAGACTGGCTGGCATCTGTATTGCCTCCCAAGGACACCCTCAGAGTCTACCTTGGGATGCAAACAAATTGTCAGCTCAGGGGGAGCTTCATCCTTGACACATTCAGGGCCTCCTGCATTTCTGGGCTCAGGGTTTCTGGAAAACATGGCAACTCAAAAAGACAAATTCAGGAGACCCTTTATCAGTCCTTAACAAAATATAAATGAAAATAACTTTTACTCACTGGAAGGGGGACTTTTCCTTTCCTCATCTGTGTAAAACTAAAACAAGCCTCCTTGGGTCAGAAGAGGGTGGGATTGGGGCAGCTAGGTGGCGCACTGGATAGAGCACTGGCCTTGGAATCAGGAGGACCTGAGTTCAAATGTGGCCTCAGACATGTGAGACTTACTAGCTGTGTGACTCTGGGCAAGTCACTTAACCATGATGGCCTCACCCAAAAAAAAAATGCAATTAGGAAATATTTAACAAAATAAATAAAAATAAGAAACTTAAGAGGGTGGGATTGCTCAGCAGGCCTTGACAGTTTACTGCTGAGGTGAGGAACCCTAAGGCTGTTGAGACTAGCTGGAATTATTGCTCCCTCAATAAGAAGCTGTAGTGGGAAATCATTCCCCTAACCAGAAGTTCCCAAACTTATTTGGCCTACAGCCCCTTTTATATATATATAAAAAAAATTACTCAGTGCCCTCTGGGAAATCAACTTTCTTTAATCTTTTAATGTTTTTGTTTTTTGAAATGTGGGTCATTTAAAAAATATATAAACTATATATTTTTTAAAATGATGTATCTTAAATTTAATAAGTTATTGTAAATTTGTATTTTTCTTCCTGCGTTTAAATTTTTACGATGCAATATTGTGACATGTGACCATATATTATATTGTAAACAAGTCTTTACATGCACATATTCTTGGGGGTGCACGCTGGACTTCACAATGCAACTCACTTACCTGCCAAAACTTGCTTTTTAATAACTGTCAGCAGATGACCACTGATAATTTATAATTTGCATTTTGTGTTTATTTGGAAAATAATGTGATCACTACAATTTTAACTCTTTATACAACAGATGAAACATGTACAAATGGTTTTTCAAAATTTTCTTCTCTTCTCTTCTTTCCTTATGCTTCTACTGCCCCCTTCTTTTTATTCAACACCCCCCAATTGCTTTGAGGCTACTACCGCCCCCTGGATCATTCAAGTGACCCCCAGCGCAGTATCACCCACTCTGGGAACCTATGCCTAAGCCCTGTCCACTCAGGGACAGATCAGAGGTTCCTCTAGATCAGAGATTCTTAAAACTGTGGGTTTTCACCCCATTTTGCTGAAACAACCCCACGATGCCATTCACTCCCTTCCCTGAAATCCCACTCCCAGCCAAATCACAGGACAAACTGACACCATCCAGCGGACAAGTGAAGAGTATACTTTATTAGGTAACTACAAGGTAAAAGTTCTTCATGCTACAAACAAGAAGGACCACTAGGTTTCAGGCTGAATCAGCATGACAGTCTAGGCTGCTAAGAACCCTGTCAGGAGTGAAAAACCCAGACAGACAGTTCCTAGGTATTAAATAATCAACTTACTAGGATATCTGCTCATAAACTGATCAGTGGTTTTTCTCCACAACCAAAGAGAAAACATGGAGAGCTTGAAAGCTGTTAAGTAATCCATGAAAGGGAATTCCCTTGACAAATGAAACTCAACCCTGATTGGTGGACATTAATGGGGAGCTAGGCTAGACTAGTCTTCAGCTCCTCCTGCTGAGAACTTGGCTTGACCATGAGACTCAGCCACCTCTATCCAGACCACTCAGATTGGTTTTCTCTTTCATGAGTTGAGTCACCCTAAATTCTAATGTAGGGGTACAAGGACAGGGGCTGTTCTTCTTCAGGCAAAAACGTGCCCAGCCTGGATTCTATTTACAGTCTAAACATGAGTAAGGTCTCCTCCCTGGGTGGCGTCTTGCCCAACATTAATGCCCACGTACCTTGAGGGCTAGGAGATCTAAATCCTGTCCTTCAGAGACTGACTTTTTACAGGGGCTGGGCCTGAAATGGGAAGCCAAGGAGCAAAAGCCTGGATCCTAAATTAATAATTGGTTATTAATATAATAGTGTCAGAGCAATGGAGCAAAGTCCATCTCTCTAAATGAAGAAGAGTCCAAGCTGGGTGATCAATAAATCTTATAAGGAAAGATCTTCCATGTCCCCTCTGACTCTAAACATTGGGCTATAAGCCAGGGTGTGGTTCTCTATGTTGACCTGAGAATTTAGCCAGTTCTCCGGAGATGTGCTCTGGGAACCTGGCCAGTTCATCAGAACATATCAAGTTAATTAATATTCTAAGATGTTTTCCTCACTCCAGCAACTTGGCCAGTTCTTGGACCAAGTGAAAACACCTGCTACAATCATGGACCCCTCTGGCATGGGGCCTTCTTGGTTAGAAGCCCTATTTAAATCCCCATTGGGAAAGCCATCTTTGGATTCTCACCCATGGAGAGGATGCTCTGCCCGGGACTTTCCCAATCAGGACCCTGAAAGCTGTGCCCCGGGAAGCCCCAGCTTGGACTTCAGGTGGTGATGCTTCCCCGAAATGGGGATGTTTTCTTATGTTATTGCTATCCTTTCTATTCTTAACCTAACTACAGTCATATTGCTAATTGTATGTTGCTGTCAATCTAGCTTTTCTATACCTATATTATAATCTTAATTGAAGCTACTTTCACTTTTTTCTCTCTAGGAGTGTGTCTTACTGTAGGAACAAATCTGAACCACATTTTTCCTTCCTTAATCACACACTGAGTTGAAAGCAGAAAAGTTTTATTAGGAGGAAAATGAGACCCTAGTCCCGAGGCACCCCATTACAAAGTAGAAAAGAGCCCCCCCGCCCACAAGCGAGGGAGATTCATGCTTGAAAAGCACAAAGGGGAGGATTGGGGAGGGATCAGGAAACAAAATGGCCAGTCTTCCCAGGAACAAGTAAGGCACAGAAGCAGGACATTTTGTTGGAACAGCTCACTGCAAGGAGGGTTTAGACTGGCTTGGGTTGCACAGCTCAACAAGGTCAGCTGGGAATAGCAGCAAAGGCATCTGGGAGTGAGCAAGATTGGGCTCCCTGCAGCTCCTACTCTGGTCTGTGTCCAGTGCACCTTCCTGGTAAGGAAACACATAGAAAACATACATATTAATCTTGGAGGTACCCTCAGAATAGTAAAATGATAATTTCTCTCAGACTTCAACTTGAAATTTCTTCCATCCTGCACACTCCCTTCCTTAAAGAGGTGTCTGTGATTGACCGACTCTGAGTTTCCAGGAGGATTCCAGAGGGGGTGTGGGTAAAGGTAACGGCAGAGTTCTTTTGGGCCCTGTGTTCTGCCCCATGGAAACACCAGGGGAAGAGAATTCAGTGGTCCAGAGATCTGCAGGCCATCTTGCCCTCTTCTTCAGAAGCACCCTGGCGGGGATAGAGAGGATAAGAGCAACTCAGTTCAAAGAGTACTGATGAACAGCTTCCTAAGTGCCAAGCACTGGCTGAGGGTGCTGAGCTTCCAAAAGTTCCTGCAAGCCTCTGCCCTCAAGGAACATGGGGAGATCCAACATGGACAGAGATCATTTCAAAGCATGGACCTGGAGGAGTAAGAGTAAAGGATGAGGGAGGGATTTCCCTGACAGATGACAGGAGAGCAGTCTGGAAAGGGGCTGAGATTCCAAGCAGCTGGAGTGCAGAGGGAATGTCTTGGAGGCCTGGAGGCCAGCCTGTGGAAAGGACCCAGAGGGGGAAGATTTTCCAGAGGACTTCCCTGGGAGTTCCCAGTGCCCCTAGAGACTTCTTCCTTCTCCTGCAAACCACAATTTAGGCACCTTGACTTTGTCCTAGAAGCCGACTTGCCTCTTGTTTTGTGTCTAGATCTTGCAGCTGGGTCAGGGTATGGCCCTCGTGAAGGATGGAGTAGTGGCACACTAGGCAGATTTTCTCATTGTCTTCTCTACAGAAAAAGCTCCAGTTTTCCTGGTGCTTGGCACACCATCCCTCTAGAGTGGCCTGGGGCTCCTCAAGGAATGGCTTCAGCTGCTTGGCCAGCCGTACCAGGTTCTGCATCTTCCAGTTGGTATGGAGGTACGCAGGCTGGGATTTCTGAGGAAGGCAATCCCGGCAGAAGGTGTCACCAGAATGCTCTGTTACAGGGTCACTGAAGAAGCCTCCACAGGCGGGGCAGGTCAGAAGGTCCTGCAGGCCCTTGGACAGTGTCCATGCACTCTCTGCTCCTACATGAAAAAGAAGCCACAATAAGAATGAGAATCAGCTCCTCTTCCCTCTATTCAGAGCCCAGGGAGAGGGCACAGTTCATGAGCCCCACTGCCCAGGGCCAGAAAGTTAGGCTCAAGGAGGACTGTGGTGCGTGCACGCGCACGCGCCCACACACACACACACACAACTCCCAGTAGGAGGAAGGGGATTCCAATACAGAGATGAACTGCTGAGATTAAAGAAAGGGGAAGATTAGCTGGGCCATGCCCTTCAGGATGCACCCCATGGAGGTGACTTCCCTAAAGTAACTCATCTAGTAAACTGAGAAGCCAGCCATGGTCTCAGGACTCCTAGGTCCAGATGTCACACAGGAGTGTGGAGAGGCAGGCTGAGGGAGTGGGATGAGCACTGTACATGGAAGCAAAGTCTAGACTTAGAATCCCAGCTCTGACAGCTACTTGCTGTCACCCTCAACACATCCCTTCCCTCCTCTGGACTCCCTCATCACAATTCTCTATAAAAAATGTGCTTTGTTCTCACTAATGCCACCTCAAGGCCTCCCTACACCTCAGATCTTATGCTCAGAGACCATGAGCTCCTGATGGTCAGTTCTGCATAGAACTGGAGCCCCAGTGGAGTCCTCGTGTTGAGGACCAGCCCTGGGATGGAAGTGCCCAGGTTCCAGGGACAAAGGAGACATCTCACAAACATTTAGTGGGTATGTTTAGGCAGAAAACTTGCCTGTGTCTAAAGGGTGGCAGTGGCCCCTCCAGCTCTTGACCTCTGTCGCACTCAAGACAGTCTCTCTTTCCAGGTCCACCGAGTGCATTCCACAAGCAAGGATGAAACACTTAACTCCAGAGTTCAGCTAAGATGGGACCAGGAGGCCCAGGTCTCCTCGCTTAGATGTGAGTCTAAGGCTGGGACCCAGAGAAGGTCCAAAAGCACAGGAAATTCTCCCTGCAGGTACTTACCTTCACTGACAGGCTCCCTCCTCTTCTTCATTTCCTTCCAAGGCTGGGTTTCTCAGCTTCTCTGCTGTGCTGCCTTTGCCAGGTTCTAGCTCCAGGAAGTTCTGCCTCTCAGGCTCTGGCTCCTCTGAAATTTATATCTGCCTCTGACCACTTCCCTGATCACAGAGATTCAGACCTGTGAGAAGTATGAACTCTGGAAAATCACACCTTCCCAGACCCTCAGAGTTGGATTCCCTATGGACCTTAGCTGGAACCCAAACCCCAGAATCAATACCACTCCAACCTCCCTCAGGAGCTATCCAGCCTTTCCTTCCAAGTTTTCCTGTGAACTAGTCTCACTATCTCCTGAGGCAATCTTTTCTGCTTTGGAAACATCTCTTTTTAGAAAGTCTTCTCCACCTGGAGTTTAAGTATCTTTTTGTCACCTCCAATCTTGCTCCTATTTCTTTCTTTCTTTTTTTTTTTGGTTAGGTAATGGAGTTAAGTGACTTGCCCAGGGTCACACAGCTAGTAAGTGTTATGTGTCTGAGTCCAGATTTGAACTCAGGTCCTCCTGAATCCAGGGCCGGTGCTCTATCCACTGCACCACATAGCTGCCCCTGCAATCTTCCAATCTAAGAGAACAGTCGTATTCCTCTTTATCATGACGGCCTGCTGACACTGGGGCTGTATCCCATGGGCTATTTGGCTCTACCTTCTGCCTTTGCCAGACAAGAGGCCTTAGTGAGGAGTAGAGAATGGCTCCGGTAGTCCTAACAGCAGAGAACCACCACTAATCTGGCATTTAAGGATATGGCTATGGACTTCACCTTGGAGAACTCTTCTCAAAAGGAAAAGTACAGGGATGTGATGTAAAGAAATATGGGAACCTGGTCTCTTTGGGATTTGCCTTTCCATGCTGGAGGAAGAAAGTGGAAGGAGGAAGTACCCTGGATGCTAGAGGGACATATTCTAGGAAGCAGCTGTGAAGGGAAACACTGACCCTTCACAGCCTTCATCTGGGGAAGGAATTCCTGCAGAGAAGAGGCTAGTCATTCCTACCAGCTGCCAATCAACTGTCATACACATGCCAAGCTAGCTGAGCTGAAGCAGCAAGGCTCTCACTTGTCTCATTTATCTAAATCCTTCCTAAAATGGGACACCCTTACCTCTACACTTGATTAAGGGATTTGGAAGAAGAACAAGCAGGAGACTAGGGCAGTTACCTTCAGGGGAAATAGAGGACTTCCAAACCTTCCTAATGAAAAGACCAGAGCTCAATAGAAAATCTGACCTTCAAATACAAGACTCAAGAGAAGCATGAAAAGGCAAAAAGGAAAGGAAAAAAAACCCTATTATTAATATGGGCAAACTGTTTCCATCCCTACAAGGGAAGATGACACTTATAACTCTTAAGAAATGACATCACCTGAAACGGCACAAAAACCAAATAGAGTAGAAAGAAAGAAGGGAGGGAGATGAGCATTGTTTGAACCTTACTCTCATCACATTTGGTTTAAAGATGGAATAACATAATCAGGTAAAGAAATCTAACTTACCCTATAGAAAGTAGAAAGGGTAAAGAGAAGAGAAAAGGGAGGGGGCTAATAGAAGGGAGGAGAGACTGAGGGAGGCAGTGGTGGAAAGCAAAACTCTACCAAGATGGGAAAGGAAAAAGGAGAGAAAAAAGCATGGGGTGTGGAATAGGATGGAGGAGGAAGACACAGACAGTAATCCTAACTGTGAATGTGAATGGGATGAACTCTCCCATAAAATGGAAATGGATAGCAGGGTGGCTTAAGAACCACAAACCTGCAATATGTTGTCTACACGGAACACATTTGATGCAGAGGGGTACGCACAGTGAAGTAAAAGGCTAGAGCAGAATATATTATGCTTCAGCTGAAGTAAAAAAAAAAAAAAGGAGTAGAAATCCTGATCTCAGACAAAGCAAAAGCAAAAATAGATCTAATTAAAAGACCACAAGGAAGGAAACTACATCCTGAAGTAAATGAAGCAAGATTTTTAAATAGAATATTAGCAAAAAGATGACTGCGACTCATCACAAGAATAATACACTATGACCAGGTAAGATTTATACCAGGAATGCAGGGCTGGTTCAATATTAGGAAACCGATCAGCATAACTGATCACAGCAACAACAAAACTAACAGAATCCATAGGATCATCTCAAGAGATGCAGAAAAAGCATCTGACATCTTCTCTGCAAAATAATCTTGAGAAGGAAATGGCAAACCTCTCCAGTATCTTTGTCAAGAAAACCCCAAATAGGCCAGAAAGAGTCGGACACTGCTGAGCAATGACATGCTTTTTTATGCTTCCTATTTAACGTTATGCTTTAGTAATTGTTGAACATTTTGGGTTCCTTCATGGGTAGATCTAGTTAAAATGGTCTGGTACCATTGGGATGTTATTAACGTTTTTCTTATCTCCTTTTAGACACACACACACACACACACACAGAGCTTCAAAGGCCTGAAGCACTTTATATTCTACAAGTTACTGGAATGACTTGGTAGAATATTCCTCTAAACAAACTCCTGGCCTTGATGGATTCACAAGTGGATTTTATTAAACTTTGAAAGGATAGTTAGTATTCATAATTCACATAATCCCCCAAACTGAGAAATAAAGGATCCCAGCAGAATCCTTTTATGAGACAAATACAGTCTTAACACCTAAACAGGGCAAAGAAAAAAACTGAGAAAGAAAACTACAGGCCAATATTTTTAATAAACATTGGCTCAAAAGCTGTCAATGAAATCCTATGAAACACACTACAATGTGTATCCAAGAACACATCCGTTATGATCAAATGGGATTTATACCCCCTATATACAGATGGTTCACTAAATCCAAAACATACAAAACCACATAATCATCTCAATAGATGCAGAAGAATCCTTTGACAAAGTACAACACTTTTATGTTAAAAATCCTACAAAGTATAGGCAGAGAGGGACCTCTTTTTTTTTAGGCAGCTAGGGTTAAATGACTTGCTCAGGGTCACACAGCTAGTAAGTGTCAAATGTTTGGTCTGGGACCTCTTTTAAATATCATAAAAAGCATCTACCTAAAACCAAAAGTTCTATGCACGAAGGATACAGTAGAACTTTCCCCAATAAACATAGGAATGTAGCAAGAATGTCTGTTCTCATCTGATGTAATTTTGGAAGTGGCATTTGTTGTCTGCTCATTTTAGTTGCGGCTGACTCTTCGTGGCCCCAGCGAGGGTTTTGTTGTTTTCCTTGTGTGCAAAGATGCTGGAGTGGTATGTCATTTACTTTTCCAGCTCATTTTACAGATGAAGAAACTGAGGCAAACAAGGTTGAGTTCCCTACAGTCAGGTGCTAGTGTCTGAGGCTGGATCTGAATCAAAAATTGGCAAAAATGATCAAAACCAGTCAACAGGCAGAGTCGGAGGCAGGCACACTGGTGCATTGTTGGTGGAGCTGTGAAAGTACAACCATCCTGAAAAGCAATTTGGGAGTGCACAAAGAAAGCGCTGAACCCTCCGCCTCTGACCCACACTCGTTCACCGTTGGGCCCACGGCCCGAGGAAGCCGCACGGAGTCTCTATGCCTCCAAATGTTCACGGCGGCCCCCTCCGTGACCGCTGAGAGCGGGCACCCAGGCCGGGGCTGCCAGCTGGGGCCCGACGCTCCCCCTTGGCGCCCCTCCCCTGAGCGGCCGAGTGGGTGACGACCCACGCGCGGCCGGGAGGAGTCATTGCGCACCTACCCGGTGCTAGGCGCGCTGAGCAGCAGGGACACAGAGAGGAGCCCTGGCCTCAGGCGGCTCACCCTCTAACCTACCCCTCTCCCAAGGCCCGGGGCGGTCTGGCCCCGGATCTGAGCCGCACACAGACGCGTCCGGCCTCCCAGCAGGGCTGGCACCGCCCCTCCCCCCAGCTGCCCCGCAGCCCCGGGAGGGAGCTCCGCGCATGCTCAGCCACGCAGCCACCCTCAGACGGCTCCATTCCTCTTAGGGCCAATGGCCGCCTTGTAAGCCGCTGCTCAAGCGCAGGCCCCGGAGCCCCGCTCCGAGCTCTTCTTCCCGGCGCCCTAACCCGCTTCTCTCCAACGCCCCAGGACCCGCTCCCCTCCGACGTCAGGCCCCATGCTCACCCGCACGCGCGCCCCGAGACGGACCTCTAAACGGCGCCGGCCAGCCAGCCGCACAGGCGCGTGCTAGAACCGGGTAGGCCGTGATCGCTCGGCCAATCAGCGTCGGCAGCGGCTCACCAATCAGGACTCAGCAGCCTGTCCACCCCACCAATCGGAGCGCCAGCCTGCTTGCAGGTCTTTGTCTCAGCTGTCGGAGGCTCTGGGCTCCTCTTCTCTCTGCCCGGGGGCACGTGTCCTCCTGACGTCTGGCCCTGCCAGTGTCGTCAGGCCCCGCGGTAGTGCCCTGGCTCTGCCCCAGCACGCCTCCGCCCCTCCTGGGCCAGGGAAAGGGGATTCTTGCCTGCCTCGGTATCCCCAGGAGCCCCGGCTGGGAAGGTCCCCAATGACTGGGTGTCACAAGCGAAGACCTCAGGGGCCGAGGCCGAATGCTTAGCGAGCGTGAACAGCTAGACCTGGAAATGCCCGAGGAGGGAAGAGGGAGGGGACAGGTGACTGCCCCTGCAGGGAGCAGAAGGAGCCCCCCCACACCTGGAGGGCCCCCCAAAGATAGCAGGACCCTCTCCTGCTGGAAGATGACGTCATCTCGAGAACGCTCACCTCCTCTGATCGTTTGCCATCCTGCCCAGGGATTCACCGCCTCCCCCTTCTCATTTTCAGTTTCTTTTAAAACTATTATGCTATTTAATATTTCCCCCAATTACACATAAAAACAATGCTTAGCATTCCTTTAAAAAATTTTTGAGCTCCAAATTCCCTCCCTGACTCTCCCCCTCGTTGAGAAGAAAAGCAAGATTACATAGGTAGTCCCTCAATTCTTAAATTATCTCTCTTTGATCTGTTTTCTAGCTCAGTTCTTTTTCTGATATTTCACATTTTCTTGTATTTTTTTTTCATTCTTTTGACTTTGTTTATTGTTCCTTCATGTCATGGAATCATTAGCTTCCAATTACCCAATTCCAATCTTCTTCACTGAGCTTTTGTGTCTCCTTTCCATTTGGCCAATTCTGCTTTTTAAGGCATTCTCCTCCAGTGGCTAGAGGTAGATCAGGACAACTCATGGCACCACGCCAAACTAGAAGGAGCTCACAAGTCAAGAGTCCTGGAGATCTGTTCTAACCATACTCTGACCCTGTCTGATACAGTTTGGTGGCCCCAGGATCAAACATGAAATCCTTGGTTCAGGTTTTAAAGCCCTTCTAGCTCGGCTCCTTCTTCCTTTCCAGTCTTCTTTTAACTTCTTTTCACTTAGGGCTCCAGGAAGCTGTGGTACGTACAGCAGCCACAGCCTGGTGAAGCCAGGCTAACACACACTGACAGTATCCAACAGGTCTCAAATCCCTCAGTGAGGTGGGGGATGTCTACCCAAGCATGTGCAGACTTCCCCTGGCAGAATGGGTGGATGCCAATAATTGGTTCCAATGCCCATGAAGGAGGCTGAAGCACGGTTTCATCAGCGTCTCTCAGTAGATGGATCCCAGATCTATCTATTTAGCTCTTGTCTCTCCGAGCTTTGGTCCTACAGCAACAACGGGCTTGTGGGCATTTCCAGTTAGATGGGCTGTAGGCATTTCAAACTCAGCATGTCTGAGACATCATCCATATTTCCCCCAAACTGACTTTTATACAAAATTTCCCTACATTTGTTAAGGGCAGCCACATACTTCCATTGACTCCCTTTCACCTCTCATGTCCAGTAAGTTCTCAAATCTTCCTATTATTTTCTCCATCCCCTTCTCGGCACTCACAGGCCACAAGCCTAGCTGAAACTCTGGTTAGCATTATGCTGGATTATCACAAAAAGATCTTACTTGTTCTCCTTCACTCCTCTCTCTATACTCCACTCTCTCATCCACATGGCTGCAAACACAAAATATTAATTGTCATTACATTTTTATTTTTACATCTAATACCAAATATGAAGTATTTTTCTTAAAGTGAAATTTTAACCAACCTCACTCCCCTCAACAAATTCCAATGGCTTCCCATCACTTCTAGGAGCAAATGTAACCTGTCTTCTTCTGTCATTTTAACCCTTCACTCCCTAATCTAGGGGTGAGGGACCTAGGGCCTTGAGGCCACACGATCCTCAGGTGCTGCCTTGGGACTGAATCCACCTTGGATTCCTCACCTGCCTTTCTACCTGCAGTGCCTGTAGATCCTCACAGACCATGATGGACCAGCCTCATGAGCCTCCTTAATTTCCTCATTGATTATGCTCTACCTGTTTTCTCTATACCCTTGTGTTGGATGTCCTGCCATCTCTGGAAGGCCCTCCCTCTCTGACAATCCCTAATTTCCTTTGGTAAAGACATGATGACAGCTGATTCCTAATTGAGCAGTAAGCTTTTCCTTAAGGAGGCAGGCAGTGGCCTCAGGAGTAAAAACAACAACAACATTATTTTAAGATTAAAAGTCTGGTGGTTGTTATCCTTTGTTCTCAGAGGCCCAAAAGGACATCACCATGTTAGGGTCACGTTACGGGGCGTCCGGCTGTGACTGATCAGACCAGGACCAGTTTGGAACCCACTACCACAGGTCAGGCACAAAAGTCCATGTGAACATTGGGGACGGATGTGCTACATCTGTGCGTCCCGCATTTCTGTTGAGCTACTACAATTCTGCTTTGCTCATGGAGCACGGCACCTTCTCTGAGGAGGGCAAGCCATGCAGGGCAATCCTGTGCCAGCGTCTCCCATGTCGCACAATCGATTCCAAAGCTCTTAAGAGACACCTTGAGGGTGTCGTTGTATCGCCTCTTCTGACCACTATGTGAGCACTTGCCCTGTGTGAGTTCTCCACAAAATGGTCTCTTTGATACACATAAGTTTGGCATTGAAACAGTGTGGCCAGCCCGTCGGAGTTGAGCTCTCTGCAGTAGACTTTGAATGCTTGGCAGTTTAGTTTCAGAAAGGACCTCAGGGTCTGGTATCTTATCCTGCCAGGTGATCTTCAGAATCTTCCCAGCACAATGCAAATGGAAGCGATTCAGTTTCCTGGCATGGCGTGGGATAGTGTCTGGGTTTCACAGACATACAACAATGAGGTCAGCACAACAGCTCTGTGGACCTTCAGTTTGGTAGTCAGTCTAATACCTCTTCTGTCCCACACTTTCCTTCAGAGCCTCCCAAACACTGAGCTGGCTCTGGCAATGCATGCGTCAACCTCATTCTCAATGTGTACACCTCTGGGAAGGATACTGCCAAGGTAAGCGGGAACTTATCCACACAGGCGTAGTCATTACTTTGCCAGACGTGACAGCAGGTACCTATGGATGGCCCCATCCTGCTTTTCCAGTTTTTTTTATACCTTGCTCCCCCCACCCCCAGGTGCTCTGTGATCCAGTGACAGTAGCGTTTTTGCTGCTTCTCCCTAAGTCATTCTGTCCTGGTGCATGTCCTCACCACCTCAGGCCTGGGCTACTGTAATAGCCTGCTAATCCAGGCCATCTGCTATAGGCCCCTTTACTAACACTAATTCCCATTCTTCTAAACTGCCTACCCTCTGGCTTCCAGTCTCATCCAAATTGCCAGTGATCTCTTAATGACCAAATCCAGGGGCCTTTTCTCAGTCCTCACCCTCTCCTTCACCCTATGCCCCATCACCATATATCTGAACCATTGCAATGGTCTGCTGGCGTATCTGCCTGCCTCAGCTCTCTCCCCAGTTCGATCCATTCTCCATTCAGCCACCAAAGCCATTTCATAAAGTTCAGGTCCCATCATATCACCTCCCTACTAAAACCAGCCAAGAAACCAACCCAGATGTTCTCTATCAACCTCAGGATCCAGTACAGAATGCTCTGCCATCACATCCCTTCATAACCTCCCCCCCCCACCTGGACAGTCTCCTTACACAGTATTGCCTGCCATACATGGTTCATGCTCTCTCTTGAGCGAGTGACTCCACCTCTGGGCTCAGGGCATCGTCACTGTGTGCTCGCCTTGCCTTGGATACTCTTCTGCCTGAACCCTCTTCTGGCTTCTCTTGCTTGGTTCAACTCTAACCTAAAACCCTTTTCTACAAAAGGCCTTTCCTGATGCCCCCTTCCTTCTGATGGCTTCTTTCTGGTAATTCTCTCCATTGCATCCTGTAGATATCTTGGTTGTAAATACTTCCTCACAGGTGGGCTCTCTCAGTGAAGTAGGAGCTCCCTGACGGCAGGGACTGCCTTTTCTCCTTTGGCAGTATTCTTGCTGTTTAGCAGAGGCTTTAGCATGTAGTAAGTTTTTCATAAATGCTCCTTCACTGGCTGCCTCTGTGGTTGTATTACAGACCTCTGTGTGATGCTGATTCTTTGGGGAGAGAAGTCTAACTTGTGTGTCTCTGCTTTCCTTCTATTGAAGTAAAGGACCCCATTTCGTTTTGTTAATGAAATGGGCTCCTCAAGGAAGTGTCATAGTATTAGCATAATGTGGTGAGCAGAGTTTTTAACCCATTCCTTTGCTTACCATGCGTAAGGGTTCATATAGTGCCCTAGTGGTTTCTTAATATAAATGTTTTCTCTGTGCCCCAGGAAGTTATAACAAAATGGATCTGTAAAAATCTGTCTCCCTCCCTCCAGTGGTATATTTATATATATTTAACAACTGGCTCCCCAGAAAAAAAAATGTACAGAAGACATGTTTCTTTGTCTTCAAAGAGCTTCCTGGGGGCAGCTAGGTGGCCCAGTGGATGGAGTGCTGGCCCTGAAGTCAGGAGGACCCGAGTTCAAATGCGGCATCAGACCAAACACTTGACACTTACTAGTTGTGTGATCCTGGGCAAGTCACTTAACCCCAATTGCCTAAAAACAAACAAAGAAAAACATAAAAAACAAAAAGCTTCCTGGTTTGAGACAGCTCAAAGGCAGTTCCAGGCTCTCTTTAGGAAGGGAAAGATTCTGTGAAGAAGCTGACATCTTCCACCAAGGAGGAGAGTCTTATACAAGTGTCAGGTGGGAGTCATGGGTTATCATTGTCCATATTCTTGTCTGGCTACTCCCTTTAACTCTACTCTTTAGTTTCTCTGCTATCCAAAGGCACATTGCAGTCCTATCACGCTTTGCCATAGGCCTACCGATTCTGGGGTACTGTGTCCAGATCTGGAGGGGTGACACAAATAAAACAGCATAGTCATGGGTCCGTGGGCATCTCTAGGCGGGGAAACAGAATGGAGAAGGGCGTTAGGTTCATGCTCTGTGAGGACTGGTGAAGGGAATGGGGCTTTTGTCTCTGAAGGAGACAAGACTTAGTGGGGACATGATTTGTTTCTTCCAATACTGGAAAGGCCATAGTGAGGGAGAGGGATGGGGATGCTGTCTCCACTCAGAGAGCAATGTCCCAATAAAGAGGGGGAAGCTGCAAAGAGGCAGATTTTGTCTTGACATCAGGAGAAGTGAATGGATACTTCAAGTGCTCCAGGGCACAGGAGAAAGCAGGACATATGAAGGGAAAAGGTAGGAAAGGCAGGGTTCCGGACTAAAGAGGGGAGAACATGAGAGCCCCTATCTTCCCCACCCCCCAACATACAGCAGCACCAGCTTCAGCTCCCAGTATGCTCTGGGCTGTCTTCCTTGGTAGAAATGCCAGCCACGTTCTCGACACTCAGTTTAATTGGTTGTAAGTGCCGCTGACAAGGAAGCACGCGATCCTTTGGCCGAAACAACCCCAGGATGCTCTTTCCTACCATGAAACCTCACTCAGGGCCAAATCACAGGACCTGTACACAAGGCCCAATAGAGTAGAGCAGAAACTTTATTAAATGACTTCTCCAGAAAAGATCTTCCAGGTAGTAATGAGAGAGACCTGCAGGGGGCAGGCAAGGACCAGCATTTCAGAGTCTAGTCTGGTAAGAAGCTCCAGTTTGGGGATTTCTTCCCATGGCACTGCTATCTTCCTTAGAACAGCCTCCATGGTGGACTGAGTTTTGTTTTCCATGGAGGATGCCAATGGAGGTGAACACAGTGATTTGGGTTCCTGCATGCTATCCCTTGGGAGACCCAGTGGAAGAGCATTCAATGGTGGCCTGGAGGTGGCAGGGAGATCTCATTCTCCTCTTCACAGGAAGCTTGGGGGGAAAAAAGGAACAACTGATCATAAAGAGCCCTGATGAGTAGCCTCCAAAGAGCAAACACTGTGCTGGGGTGCTGAGGGTGCACATTCCTCCAGAGCTGCGGGTATCCCTTGGGTGAGCCAATAGTGACTTAAACAATTGAGAGGGAGAGAAGAAAATTAAGGAAGGCTTCCCATGAGAGGCAGCTTCAAATTGGAGCCCAGAAAGAAGCCAAGGATTCTGAGTAACTGGGGTATAGAGGGAATGCCCTGTGTGTCCTGAGAACAGCCTGGGCAAAGGCTCAGATTGGGAGATAAAATGGGGAGATCCCACAATCCAGGGAACCCCTACTTTTTTTTATCAATACCCCCACAGCCCACACTGTCTTCTTCCTGCTCCTCTAAGCAACAGCATAGGAAACTTGACCTTCTTTACCCCTCCCTAGAAGCTGACGTGGTTGTCTGTCTTACCTTCTCTTGCTTTTGGGTCTTCTAATTTAGTCAGGGTATGTTTACTGTGAAGGGAGGAGTATTGGCAGACATAGCAGATTCTTTGATTGTCTTCTTGACATAGGAGGGTGAAGGGCTCATCATGCTTGGGGCACCATCCCTCTGGGACAGGTTGGGGCTGTTCCAGGAGTGGTTTCATCTCCTTGAACAGGGTCACTATCCTTCTTATCCTCCAGTTGAGGCCTGCAGGTGGGCATTCTTGTGGATAACAGGACTGACAGACAGTGTTGCCAGAAAACATTGTTATAGGATCCTTGTGATAATTTCCACAGACTGGGCAGGTTAGGAGGTTCTGCAGGCCATCCCACAATCCAAGGATACTATGAGCTCCTACAGGTGGAGTAATCACAATGTCAATGAGAATGAACACAGCAGACACTTTTCCTTTCTATAGTTTTTACCTTGATGTCCACTGAGGAATCCGGGATGGAGGCAGGGAGAAGATCCCCATTGTCCTCGTGGGAAACAGAGTCAGGGAGGACAAGGGCCTGACTTATGGTCCTATACAAATTGGAATGTCTCCATAGGAGGGCTGGGAGTCCCACAGGTAGAAAAGGAGTTGAAGTGAAGGCTTTAGACCAGAAAGAGACTTTCTGGGATTATCCAAGCCAAGCCCTTCATTATCTGGTTGGGGAACCTGAGAGGGAGCCCATGGAGAAGATTCCCTAAGGTCACACATCTGTTAAGTCTTAGAGATAAACTTGTACCCAGGCTTCCTGTATCCCAGTGGTATGCAGCAGAGGTGGGTGTGTGGTGTGTTTGGGAAGGGGGCATCTTATGGACTTGGGTTGGCATCGTATCTGGACACAGAAGACTAGAGTTAGAATCTCAGCTCTGAGGATCACTGCCTGGGTCATCCTCAACAAATTGTTTCCCCTCTTTGGACTTCCTCCTTTGCCTCATCTCTCAAAAGAAAAGCCTGGGGGTGTTTTTCTGATCACTAATAGACTCCCACCCTCCAGACCTCAATGTTGTTGTTGCTCACTCATTTCAGTTGTATCTGACCCTTCTCCACCCCATTTGGGGTTTTACTGGACTGGGTTGCCATTTCCTTCTGGAGTGGAGCCAGTGAATCCATTTTGTCAGGCAATCAGAGCTTAAGTGACTTGTCCAGGATCACCCAAGTAGGAAGTGTCTGAGGCTGGATTTGAACTCAGGTCTTCCTGACTCCAGGTCCAGGGCTCTATCCACTGAACTGCCTCTCATACCTCCATCCTCCTCTTAATCCTTAGACATTGTGATGTCCCTATGGCCAACGTTTGGATGGAGGAGGGGCTCCTGGGGAGAGCAAGGTGTAAAGGGTCATTCCAGGAACCAAGTACCCAAATTTTAGGGGCAAAGGACAAGTCTCCCAGGACACTGGTGAGTATGTTTGGTTGGAGACCCTGTGCAGGGGAAGAGGGTTGGCAATGGGCCCATCCCAGTCAGGCCTCAGTGCTCCTTCCAAGGTCTGTCAAGACCCTTCCACATGAACAGATGAAGCCACAAATGTGTGTAGGGCATGGAAATCTACAGTGCAGATAAGATGGGGTCAGCACCCTCAGTCCTTCCTCCACTTCGATGGGGGTCCAAAATTTGAGCCCTGAGGAAGGTCAAAACACAAAGGGATTCTCCCTCATGGTACCTGCCTTCACAGAATGGATCATCACTCTTCTCCTCACTGCCTCCAAGGCTGCTTTCTTCAGCTTCTCCTTGAGGCTTTTCCTGGGCCCCAGCTTCATGAAGGTCTGCCATCCAGGCTATGCAGTGTATGGCAGCCTAGCCCAGTTGTGAGAGAAGTGTGATCTCTGAGAAATCACACAGTCCCAGAATCTCAGAATGGCCTTCTCTGTGGACAACCTCTCTCTCTGCTTTATCTGCCTAACTTCTCCTCTGAATAAGATGGCCCTGCTCCACTCAGCTCATTACCTCTTAATTCGCCACCAGGCTGTTAACTCAAGTCTTCATTAGAACCACCTGTTCATGCCTGGTTCCCCTTCAGATTGGAGGGCTGCTGGGTGCAGCCCAAAGTCCAATCAATGCCTTACTGGATAGAGGGCAGAAACTGGACATCTGATCTGCTGCTCTGCCTGGTTTTAAGTCCATGGAACCAGATGTCCCTCTTCTGGATAGCCCCATCCCCACTTTCCTGCCTCTTTTTTTGCATGTTGTCTCCCTCCATGAGGTTGTGAGATCCTTTAGGGCAGGGACTGGTTTGCTTTGTGTGTTTCTTTTTGTTTTACTTTTTCTGAATCATATACCCAGCCAGTTAGCACAGTGCCTGGCACATAAGAGGTGCTTAAGAAATGTTTATTGGGTTAGACTGGATTGGACCTATGGTGGGATCTACACTGACCGCATTTATAAGAGGCTATGTATCTGTTAGAAATAGGCTTGACACCAAAAATTTAGTATCAAGAAAATTTATTATAAAGAAGGTCCAGAGGATTTAGATGTTTCTGGCCAGAAGCGGGCTCCACCCCTCTTCAGGAGGGGTGCGCCCTGAGTGTAAGGGTAAGTGTGCTTTTATGCAGCTGAATTCAGCGAGAAACCTCCCAGGCCAGGATTGGTCCATCCCTTCCCAGGCCACACCCCTCCTAACATGTTTCCCCTTGACATGCTCAAGTATGTTCCCCTCCCTTTTTCATATGTCCCATGACTCGTTAATGAGGCTCCAATTTTATGTGGGGTGTGTCAGATAATAGTAATGAAGGTCATTAAGCAGGCGCACTAGCACTTTTCAGGTGTCCTCAAGATGACCCCAACTGGTCTGAGCTGGTTTGACCCTTATCTTGATTTTGGGGTCTTCTTGGAACAATCAATCCACTTACTTCCTATTGGTCAAGCCCAGCCCACCTACAGTGTGCCACTTCCTGGGACCTCTGTTCTTTAAATCTCTGCATTATCCTCTTTCTCTGTGGAAATTTAACCTTTACCTGACTCTCACGGTATCCTTTCCTTTGGGACCTCCTAGGAGTAGATCCATTCTTCTGTCCATGGATCTCTTTCTGCCCTGGTGCTCTGTCTCAGTCCCTTTTCCATCCCTGGGCAATGCAATGCTGCAGGCTCCTGGCCAGACTGTCTCCAGACCTCTCTTTCTGTCTCCTTAAGGTGCCCTGGGCTAGAAAAAATGATTCCCTATGGCTTTTTCTTGGTTTTTCCAATCAGAATATAGGCTGGTGCATTTTCTAGATTATTGTGGGGAAAGCAGAGTGGTGAGTTAGGCTCCACTGCTTCCTCCCCCTCTGCCATCTTAACTCTGCCTCTAGGAGCATGGAGCTGAAACACCTTCTATAATCTGAGCAAGTGGTCAACAGAAGAAATAGGCACAATGCAAGTGTGTGAGATCTTGCTGGTTTCAATCTGAATGTGAATATGGGAATTCCATATCCCAAACAAGTAGGTAAATCAGTACTCCAGCTTGTCATCAGACTGCTAATGTTTACATAGTCATACCTAAGATTAAATCCCTGAAATAGCTCCTCCTTTCTGAATAATGTGGGGATAATTAGGCAAAGATTAAAAAAAAGGTTTGTGAAACAAAGATGGAAACACAGTATTCTATCATTGTCCTATGGATTAAGATTGGGACACATCTGAGCACTACAGCTGCGTAAGAGCTAAGCTATTCAGCCTAGAATTATGGTCCTTTCTATATCCTGTATAACTTAGTAAATGAGCATTTGGCCTGGTCGTCTTCCTGTTACTAGATTATATATATAGGTATAAAATAAGGTCCTAAGGAGTTTCAAAATGATGGAAGAATAATTGGGTGTTGCTAGAATTGTTTGAAGGACTTAGCTGATATTCGATTAATTATTGAAATTAAATCAGAAATGTCTTCAGTTTGGTTTTAAGAAGAGGACTGTAGTGAAGCTGATTGTATCACAGAGATGTAACTTATAGAATATTTTGTGTCACATCAATGGAAAAGTGAATTGTATTCAAGTTTATTGTTAATGTGGAAATAAGATGTTTATACTGCATGTCCAGTCCTACAAACATGTTTCCTCATAAACAACTTTTTTGATATGCACTGTTTTGAGCTTGATTACTTAAGTACCCTCCCAAGTCTTTTATTATAATTGGAGTCCAGTAAGCCTCTTATAATTAAATTAATTTGTGTAACCGTTGAACCTAGGGCTGAAAGGCTTCTGTCTGCAGGAGTGTTGTTACTCTGTTGTTATGTACAGGACCAAATCCTCAATAGCACCTGATCCTCCAAAAGGAATTGGAATCAGACTGGAAAAGTTTGAGAAAGCAACATGATCAGAGAATCTTATATGTCAAATGGAAATGATTCTAATGGGACAAAAAAGGCACTAAAAACCCTGGTATAGATCTGCTCCAAGGACCTTGCAGCAGATCTTCTGGAAAGAATGTATGGGTGGCTTTCAGGAGGGAAATGTGGGGTCCCAATTGGTGAAAGCCATGGGAAAAGACTCAGTGACAAGTATATGACTTTGCATAGACTCCCCAGCACTAGCGCAAAGCTCAGGTTCTGGGAATTGGGCCCAATCCTAATACAAACTAAAATATTAGCCAAAAATATTAGAGGCAACAAGCTAGGGGATAATTAAATTCATATTGTTTATTCCTTTAAGTCAGCAACATGTACATGGAGTCAGAGCTTTAGGAGGGCACATAAACCCTCACTCAGGATGTCTGTGTTACTCAAATATATATATATATATATATATATATATATACACATATATATATATATGTATATGTATATATATATGTATGTATATATGTATGTATATATATATGTATATATATATGTATATATATATATACACACACACATATATAGCCTCCATATGTTTTTAACATGTAGCATGAGAAAGGAAGTTTCTTAGTTGAACAGATTGTACATAAAATAAGACAAGAGAAGTAACAAAGTGTCATTTGAAATTATAGTCCCAATATATCTGTGTTTCCCCTACGTAGCCTATGTCCATATGAAGCAGAAGACATACTGTGCCCTAAAAGCTAAAGGCTTTTTAAAGAAACAAATTTTATTTCAGGGTTGTTTTTCCAGCACCTTGTGAGGCCCCTCCTGAACTTGAGGGCATCCTAGAGTCTGTTTCCCTTATCTTGAGATACCATAAAACTTCCCTGTATCCTGGACCATAGAACTTTCTTGTCTCCCTCATCCTGACCATAAAATTACCCATCTTCCTTATCCTGGGTCCCCTATCCTGCCATACATGTTCCTCATCCTGTGTCACTGAGGGGGGCGGGGCCCAAGCTAAGATCTTAGCCCTTTGCCCCAAAGGGAATCTGACTCACAGGCCCCAGACCCTCATCTCCCTTTGAAAGCCTTAGCCTTACCTTTTAATGTTATTCAGATGCGGCCCTAAAAAAATCTGGCTCCCTTTTGTCTATAAACCCCAGAAAGACCTTCTCTGGTCTCAAACTGTTCCTTATGGACTCCCCTTATCTCCTTTTGAAAGTCCTAGCCCCACCCTTTGATTTTGTGCAGATGCCTTTCAAACTTCTGCTTTCCTGTTCCCATTGTCTATTCAATCTCTCAGACCTCCCCAGTTAGAATTCTTACCTAGACCCTTTTCCCAACCCCCTTCTCTGGCCACCCAAAGTTACTTTAGTATTTAAGATCCACCTTGGCCCTCATTCAGATGCTGAGAATCTCAGGCCCACAAGGCTGAGAACCTCTCATGCCAGCTCCGGGTTCACCTGGCCTCTGTGATTTATCACTAATAAATTCTTCCTCTGGCTGAAAAAGATTTGAGTTGAATTCATTCAGCAGGGCCCGGTACTGCGATCTTGGGGATTTTGCAGCACCCCAAAAGTCCTAGACTTCTTCATCATGACAACCCCTCCCCTTCTCTTGTAAGATAAAACTGACCCCTCTCCCTTTGTAAGTTGCTAGTCCTCTTTCCTGAGCTAGCCTGCTGCTCTTGCTTCAATAAAGCTCCCAATGGTTACAGAGAAGGTCTAAGTGAATTCTTTAACACCTGAACCAGCTCTCCCAACTCTAAACCTCAACACATAGGATATCAAGATAAGAAAAGTCCCACCATTCAAGAGTGTGTCTTGTCCCAGGTATCCTGTCCTTAGTGATCACAGACAGGAAGAATGCTGGTCAGCTCCACCTGGTTCTGTAGTTGCTGACATAGGATTGGGGATTCTTAGTTCACTGAGAGAGAAAAGATTAATTCAGGTTTTTGGCTTTTATTGGGGCTCAATCTTAAATCATTATCAGAGTGCACCCTGAGAATGTTGGGGTGCCCTCTGAAATCATGAAGAATAGATGCAGGGTCCTATTGTTTTGAAAGAATTCACTGAGACAGTCTCCAAGGTAAAGAAAGGCATTTCTTGGGTTGATGCACCCAAGCAGGCCTGCTCCCTGTGGGAGGCAGAGCACAGGCCTCAGGCCCTGCTTCCAGTAGGATACAAAGGCAGCTTATTGGCCCTTAAGTGCCTGGTTTAAATACAATTTCATGGAATTCAGGCAAAGGGAACAAGAGAATGGAGCATGGCTCCCAAATGTTTGGGATATTAGCAGAGAATAGGAGAGGGGAGAGGAAGTCTTTCTGGAATTGAGGGAGGGGTGGGTTTGTGAAAGCACAGGAGTAAGTCCACCGAAGGGGCTTCAATGCATTCTCTTCTTTGCCCTCTTTTCTGGCTGTCACACCCTGCATCTTATCTCACATCTTGCATCCCGCTTGCTTCATCTGCCTCAAGCACTCCTTTCTACCTCTTCAATCTACCTAATCCTACCCTAGTTTCCCCATCTGGAGAATGGAGATAACATATGGGCATCTACCTCCCAGGTTGAGGTGAGGATTGAATTGCACAATATTTGTAAAATGGTTTGCAAACATTAAATCACTTTGGAATTACTCATAGTAAAAGTCAGTTGGCTAAAACTCTAAAACTATGGATAGCTCAACTGAGAAAGAGAGCTAGAGAGAGAGAGAGACCCAGAGCTCACTGCAGGAAAATTGCTTACATTTCTTAATACCATGTAGGAAACCATTTTCTGCAAATAATTGCATTGTATGTTGTTTAAAAAAAAAGAGAGATTGGTATTTTTTTAGTAAATAAGTGGGCTGTTAAAAAAAATGGAATTGGGGAAATGATCAAAGGCTAATGATTATCACATGTGTATTATATGTACCTAGTTACAGAACCCCCAGTCAGTGGAGGGAATGGCCCTCGTCAATCTGATGTTTCCATATCCCAGGAGACATCAGCAAAGTCATCCAGCAGATGCCATATGAAGCCTCTGGCAAATGTTCCTTGGAAGTGTCACAGGAGTCAACAAATGAGCAACCACAATGTGCCAGGCACTGTGCTAAGCACTGCAGATACAAAAAGTGGCAAAAAGCAGTCCCTGCCCTCAGGGAGCTTACAGTGTAGGGGGGGGAACTAGAGATGTGTATGAAGTACGCTAGATACAGGATAAATGGGGAAATTAGCAGGGAAGACTCTGGTATTGAAAGTTTCCTGCTGAAGGGTGGAGTTTAGCCTGGACTTAAAGGAAGCCAGAAAGGTCAGTGGTCAGAGCAGAGGTCTGGAGAGTGTCCCAGGCATGGGGAATGGCCAGAGACAATGCTGGGAGATGGGGTAGCTAGATGATGCAGTGGATAGAGCATTGGTCCTGGATTCAGGAAGACCTGAGTTCAAATCTGGCCTCAGACACTTGACACTCACTAGCTGTGTGACCCTGGGCAAATCACTTAACCCCACTGCCTAGCAAAAAAGGAAAAAAAAAAAGAAAATGCTGAGAGCTGGAGGGTCTCCTGAGTGAAACCTCCAGGAGTGCAGGGTCACTGGATGGAAGAGGACATGTAGGGGAGAAAGGTGGGAGAGGGCTGAGCTGTGTAGGGCTTTGAGTGCCAAAGAGAGGGCTTTGTATTTGCTCCTGGAAGCAGTAAGGAGCCTTTGGAGTTTGAGTGGGAGAGGGGGCTGACATGGTCTTGTTGCAGGCTGAGAGGTAGAGAGCTTGTGACCCCTGAAAGACTGGAATACAGGATGGGTCGCCTACAATGAATTCACTGACTCAAGCATTCTTTAAGTCAAGGTGGCAAAGTATATCGTTATGCTTTTCAGCTGGTAAGGATTCTTAAGGATTCCTGCAACCTCAGAGAGGTACAGTTAAAGTTTATGTAGGATAAAATATGATAAACCCTGTGCCAAATATGCTAACTAGGGGATTCAGGGTAGGATTAGGGAGTGGTTAAGGAGTGGTCAGTTCTTAAAGAAACATGCACTTGTTGTACCTACTGTGCAGGCGTTTTACCCAGAGTTCACTAGGAAAAGCCCACAAAGGGGGGCACGTGGAGGTGTGGTTTTAGGCCTGCTACGTTACTAAGTCAACCAGAGTTCAGGGTAACTGAGAGTTGTCCAGTCTGCCACCAATCCATGTTTTGTTTGACAAGATAGATGTAGGGAGTATACATATGTCTTAAGTCTAGAATACAGTTAATGAGGAGCCTAGGATGGAGATACTAAGGTAGGGCGGTAGGATACTATAGTAGTGGATAAGAATGTCTTTATGACCCAGTGCAAAGCCATTTTAAACTAATACATCCTTCAGGTGCTGTTTGGAACTGCACTAGGGAAAGAGATAACAGTCTTGCTGGGGCCCACTCATGAGTAATTGCTAAGCACAGCTTCCTTGGGCTGGGGAGAAACTGTCAGAGATAGTGTTTCTGAGTCTAGGGAGAAATTGGGGTCCAAGTCCAAGCACCCAAACACTACCACTCAAGCACCCCATCAGTCAGACCTGCACTTTGGGAAAATGACTTTGGGGCTGGACAAGAATGGGGAAAGCCTTGAGGCAGGCAGACCCCTCCCCCAGCAGCTGTAATTGTCCAGCTGTGAGGTGACATGTTTTTTATTAAAAGGTGATTAAGAGAGCCTAACATGGAGTATAAATGTGAATGATTAAAATTCATTATTACTTGGTAGGAAAGAAGGGGGCCTGGTAAGTGGGGAGGGCAGCAGGCTAAAGGTCTTTGCCTCCTCCCCCCAGGCATAGAAGAATAACAGATCTCTGGGAAGTCCTAAATCCAATTCAGTTGGGGGGGGGGCCTGAACTGAGGTCAGACTCCCCACCTCAAAGGAAGGAGGCGTCTTTGCTTAGAGGCATCTCTGTATTATTGGGGCACAGGGCGGGGCAGCACTGACCCCAGGACACCCAACTAACCCAGGCTGGGTGAAGTTACCCTGGGACATTAGTCCCTCCTCCTACATAATCCTCACATACCTGGGCTGGGAGGAGGTGGTCAGGGAGGAGCCAAGGTTAACCTAGCCTGGCTAGGAAGGCTAGGGGATGGGGGGAAAAGAGATATAAATTGTGAGAGTAGTCACTTTCTGTCTTTTCTAAACTCTTTCTAGACAGACTGAGAAGACATAGAAGAACCCAGAATTTTTGGCCAGAGAAAGTAAGTCTGGGTCTCAGGTGCCCTACCCCCTCTCCCAAACCCTGGTCTCAGGAGCCCTGTAACTATCTGCTCTCCTCCCACCTCCTTTGGTACATAAGCCACCTTGAGAGGAGGAAAGGGACCATTTTTCAGAATCCTTTTTGGTTTGTGTCCCCCTCCCCAAGAATCCTTCTCCCTTCCTCCCAAGAGGGAACTCTCCAGTGGCCTATGCCCTTCCCCCCTACTGAGAGGCTCCCTGGTAGAGGAGGGAAGAGGGAATTAAGATCTGGGTTCGAATTGAGCTCCCCCCAGGTGGCACTACTACCTTCTCATGGTCATACCATGCATTATATGTGTGATCTCGTGGGATCCTCACAACCCTGCCAGGTAGCATTGTACCGAGAAGTCAGCGAGCAAGACCCAGATGTAATTTAAAATATGGATTTATTAGCGCATGGCTGCCAGGGGTAGGCACATCCAAATCAAGCAGCCCCGATCAGCAGTCGAGCTGGGGTTTATATGGAAAAGAGCATGGGAAAGAAATGCCAGGAACACTGATAAGGTAATCCAAAGGTGCAGGTGTCTTTGGGAGCTATGGATGGGAAAGTACAGGGAGCATACAGGGCAGGGAGGGGGATGGATCTTTGAAGTCTGGCAAGAGGAAGAATTCTTGGGCTGGTCAAGGACGCCCCTCTCCCTCTGTCTTGACATGAGAATGCTCTGCAACAAAGGAAAGCTTTCTCACAACTAAGGAATTGGGAGGCTTCCAGAGACATGATCTGAGGGCTGGGGCCTGGGCAGCCAGATAAGGGACATGCTGAGGCCCATGCATGAATAACTGCTTGGCACAGTGTCCTTGGGCTGGGGGGTGGTTGTCAGAGACAGTGTTTCTGAGACTAGGGAGAAATTGGGGCACAAATACAAGCACCCGAGCACCCCATCATTACAGGTCAGGGATCACACAAACCAGACCAGGTGTCCTGGCCTCTGGTATAAACATAATTATCTAAAGCCATTATATTGCAAGCTTTCTTATCCATTTGCACTGGAGGTATGGGCTGTGCTAAGCTATGCAAGAGTACATTTCACTATTGTTTAGATTTAGGAGGAAAGAGGTCTGGGGCAAGATTAAGCAGTAATTTCTGGTTTTCACAGCTTAAAGGGCCCTACTACCTAAATGGCAAAATAATGTTCTGCATTACAGTAGGAGCTGTTATCCCCATTTCACAAATGAAGAGAATGAGTCTGAGAGGTACAGTGACTTTCCCAGAGTCTTAGCTAGGACAGGTCAGAAGGAGGATTCTTAACTGGGGTCTAACTGACTCCAGGCCCAGGGTTCTACCCACTTAGCCTTGGCTGCTAAGTCAGTGAACCTCAGTGTTCTCATTTGTAAAATGAGGAGGCTGGATTTGGTGACCTGGAACTAAGCCCCTTTCAGGTGTCAAACATGCCTGCATTCCTGTGATCTGGAGCTCAGCTCAGGAAAAAACCTCAAGGATGTTTAGAGTCAGGAAATGATCTTGGAATTCCCTACTGGTGTAAATCTGTGCCCCAGGCTGGAATCCTGGCTGTTCCTTAATGCCCCTGTCACCCTGGGCCAGTCACTGACCTCTCTGAGCCTTGTTCCTCCAGGCAAAATGAGGACTTGGAGCTCTGAGGCCCCTCCTGGCTCTAGCCCATGGTCCTCTGAGAGCTGGCCCCTTGAAAAGTGGACTCCAGCCTGTGAAACCATCTCTGTCCCCACTCAGCTTCCTGATTCCCTGCTACTCTCCTACCTTGGACAGCACCCCAGCCCATGCTGGGGCCCAGGCTCAATTGGGAGAAGCCTTCAGACACATTATGGGGACCTGAAGGAATTCTAATCCAACCACCAACTTTCTCCCCTCCTCCAACTTTCCCAGGTTACTTAGATGCCTGTGATGCTGTTGAGGTTTAGAGTTGGGAGAGCTGCTTCAGGTGTGAAAGATTTCACTTAGACCTTCTCTGTAGCCATTGGGAGCTTTACTTCTTCAAAGCTTCAGGGGCCTGAGGTTAGCAAGGAACTGAACAAAGGAGCCCATATAGGAAAAGACCCAGGCTGACATAGATAGAAAGCTACACAGCCTGTAGGGTGATGATGGATTTTTAGGGTTTCTTCTGGGGGCTGGAGATTAGGGACAGGATAAGAACAAAGAAGGTGAGGAAGATGGTTGCCTACAGGATGAGGAAAAATGGTTGTGACAGAGGATGAGGAAGATGAATAACAGGATAGGGAACACAGGGTAAGAGAGACAAAGGCAATTCTTTTGGTACAAGTTCTATGGCATTTCGAGATAAGGGGAAAGACCTTGAGAAGTTCTCCTGTTCCAGGCTCTCCAGGTACAGGATGGGCTACAGAAAGAGCCTCAAACCCCATGCTCAGCTTTACTTCTTTGTGCCCAAAGGGCAGGGTCTGGGGTCCCCAGAGCCAGGAAATTTCAGGCTACCTCTTAAATGAGTGGGGACCTGGAAGTTGCTTCTCAATTCCCCTTCCCTCTCCAGATGAATGAATGAATGGTCATTTATTCAGCTCTTAATTAATCCATGCCAGGATTTGCAAGAAGTGCTATAGACTCTAGGACCAGAGGGCAGATCTGCCCTCCAATAACTAGCTAATCACAGGTGCTGTGGAAACTCTTTCCTGAAATCCAAGTCATTTTGATTGCTAAGCCCCAGACTGCAGATGGAATGGGAGTGTGGGGGTTGGGTTATGGCCTCTTCTCCCATCTCTGACCCTTCCTCCATTCACTTGGATTAGTATTTGTTTTGGCTTTACCCATTCCCCCCCCTTCTGGATTCTGGAATTCCAGTTTCCTCTCCCTCCCCTTCTATAATTATGGATGGACCCTGAGGGGATAGGGCTATTCCCACCCATTGTGACTCCCCCCAGGTCGTTGGATTTCCCCAGCATTCACCCAAGTACTCCCTAGTGCAAAAGTCCAGATCCTCTCTGGTCCTTTTGTGTTCTTTGGTAAGATACAAAGGAGCCCCTTCCTTTTGCCTCCTAGCCTTTGTTGGGGGATCTGATGGGATAATGACTTTCAAAACCTTTAGAAATGCTAACTGTTCTCCTGGGAATCTGTCTTTTCTTAGTCCCCCTGCCTCCCCTCCTCCCACTGCCAGCTCTGAGTTTTTCCTTTGGTGTGGGGTTGATAGGCCCGTGGATCTGCTTCTTAAAGGACAGTCCAGTCTCTGCCTATTTTTGGACCACAAAAGGAAAAACACTCCAGTTTTCATCCTTAGAGCACCTCCCTGCTCACCAGTCCCCATGGCCAGATGAGGCCCAGGGGGTGGGGACTGTCTTTACATTTGTAAAAAAAAAAAACAAAATAATAACAGGAGGATCCAGAAGGATTCTGGGCTGGGGTGTTGTACTGCCTCCATCCCCAACAGCAGTCCCAACTCAGTCCTTCTCTGGCCTCTTTCCTCATTTCCTGCCATCATCTTGCCCCAGGACCAGCATGTCCTGATTTCTGCACCTCTCCCCTTCCCATTAGAACCCGGGTTTGGAGGGGTGAAGAGGGAAATAGTCAGGCCTCTCAGTGGGTGGATTTCACTTGCTTAATCTGCTAACAGCCAAACCCCTAGACTTGGAGGCAGATGGGAAGGTTTATATAAGTAGAGAAAGTTTGTAACATGAGCTGTAACATATGCCTGGCACCAGGTGTCCTGATGTCCTGGCCTCAGCTCCTCATTAGGATCCAGCTGTCTGCCAGACATGGAACATCTCTTAGGAAACAAACATGACAGAACAGAAGGCACCTGGGTGTTAGGATTGGGGCAATGGAAGGTCAAGGAGGGAGATGGACCAAGGCGGTAAATGTTTCCAGTTGGAAGGACAAGAGTTAAAAGTAAGGATGAGCAAGTCTGGGCCCAGGCTGCAGAGAAGAAAGGGGGGCCTGGGGTGGGGGAGGGAATCAGGGGAGAATGGCTGGGAGAACCGGGAGGGATGTAGACTGGGCATGTCCTTTGGAGGAAGAAGATGAATGTTGCAGGGGGAGACCAGGAGATTCTGCTGAGAAGAGTTGGAGTCTCAGAGCAGGGTAAAGGTGGGAGGGAGAGAGGTGGTAGAGTAATGGGGGAGGGGAGCCCAGAGATGACCAGCCTGGTGGGTTGAGTGGTGGCCCTGGTGGACTTCTCTGCCTGGGGTGAAGTTTGGAAACCTGGGAGGAGGATAGGGGAGAAGAGGGGTCACTCTAGAAGATGGACAGTAGGACAGGGCGGGACTCTTGGGGTTAGGAAGACCCACCCAGAACAGGTGGGCTGGGAACAGAAGCACTAGAAGCTGAGATTTCTCTGCATTCTTCCCCCAGAACAGAGATCTCCCCATGTTTCCTGCAGATGAGATCTCCTTCTGCCTTCCTCCACTGGAGCTGAGATCTCTCTGCCTTGTGGGAGCCAGCCCTGCAGGTGCCAGGTAGGTCTGAAGGAGGGCCCCTTCCCACACCCCACTTCTGCTGGCTGCCCTTTCCATTGGGCATCATCTTCCCCCTCTGACCTCCTGGTGATTGTCTTCCAGCTTTGCCAGGAGCAGGCCTCCCACCAGGTCTTGGCTCTGGGGGTTGCCCCAGCTACATGTCCAGGCTCCCCATCACATCCCAAAGGTCCTAGGGGGCCATGCCCAGTTTTACCAATGGGTCACAGTTGCCCAACCCACCTGTTTCACCCATCCTATCAGGTGGAGGCAGAGCTCTGGTCCGGAGCCACTGAGCCTGATGAGTATAATGACTGGGAAGCAACCTCATCCCATCACTCACCTCTTCCTTGCCAGCCTCGATGTCACTCAGGAATGAAAAGACATACATGTCCTCAGCGTGGGAAGGGCTCTGGCTGGAGCTCTGCTCTTGATGGGCCTCAGACTACCCTTACAAGAGAAGTGCTTTAGAAATGTAATGAACGTGGGAAGGCTTTCTGCTACAAATCACTCCTTACTGGTCTTCAGAGAACCCACACTGGAGAGGAGCCTTATGAATGTAATCACAAACCCACAGCCACTTATCTGATCCTGGAAGGAGAGGAGAGGGGGATGGGTCCCTGAATACCCCGCGCGGTGACGTCACGCCCTCTTTAGGGCCCCGCCTCCTGCGGCTGACACAGCGCCTCGGGGCATGCTGGGAATCTTGTGCTGCCTGGCGGCCGGTTCCCTAGGGGACCAGGAGACTGGGGAAAGGTCAGGAGGATATCGGTGCGCAGGCGCAGCTTACCCACAGTGTTCAGAGTTTAGGGGAGGGTAAGACAGGAGGGAGTCAGTGCACAGGCGCAGCCCCGCCTCCTAGCCCCAGCGCGGGCCCTTCCTCCCCCTCTGCCTCCTCCCCAACCCAGAAGGACCCGGTTCTGGTGCCTGTGACGGCTTCCAGGGAAACTTGTGTGCGCGCGTGTGCAATTCAGGGAGGGCATGGAGAGTGTGTGTGAGTGCCCTGAGGGGGAGGGGGTGTTGAGTGTGTGATTGTGAGTGCAAGGGCCGTTAGGGGGAGGGGTAGGAGAGTGTGTGTGTGTGTGTGTGTGTGTGTGTGTGTGTGTGTGTGTGAGAGTGATTGCAAGTGCATGTGCCATAAGGAGGAAGGGCTGGTGACTGTGATTGTGAGTTCGAGGGCCATTAGGGGGAGGGGTGGTGAGTGTGTGATTGTGGGGGGAGGGGCTGGTGAGTGTGTCCCTATAACTGTGTCTGAATTGTGTGCGGTTGTGACTGTGTGGGTGCGTGTCCCCCGATGGGGGAGGCGGTCTCGGGTGCGAGGGGTCAGCAGGGAAGCCGGGCTCACTCCCCCCCTTCCCCAGGGGGTTGGTCACTGTCTTTCCTGGTCCAGAGCAGCTCCGGCCCGGGCAGTGCTCTCCTGCCTCGACCGTCCAGCCTCCTTCTGTCCCTGGGTCAGGAGCAGAGGAAATGACTCGCAGCTGGCGCGGCTGTGGCCCTTTGGGGGCCCCACGTACTGTCCAAATCTCCCGTGCTTGATTCCTCACAGCAGCCTTGGGAGGGAGGTCTCCGTTGTACAGATGGGGGAACTGAGGCAGCCAGCCATGAAGTGACTTCTCCAGGGTCACTTTCCTGCTTCCATCCCTGTTCCCATTCCCAGGATTCAGATGAAGGCCCTGTGATCTTGAACCCAGGCTTGCTGGTGGCCCAGGGGCTGGCCCACAGTGAATGGGAATGAAACCTTAGTGAAGGAGTGTTAAATGAGCAAAGTCCGTCACATGCTTGGGGTCCTAGAAGGGCCTTCCTGCACACTTCAGCTGAGGCCCAGGCAGGGAGATTGACGTGCTTCCTCGGACAGTGGGAATAAGTAGCAGGGACAGGATCTGAACCCAGGTCTCAGCGGTCTAAGGCCAGCGGGCAGTGGATTTCCTTCCCCTTGCTGCATGCTGGCTCCCACACATATAACACATGTGTGCCAGCAGGCAGGCATGTGCACGCTAAGGAAAGCACAAGCCACTGTGTGAAGGGACAGGACAGTTTTAGAGCCCTTTTCATTCAGGAAATTCTTCAGGCCCAAAGCCGCCTTTGTCTCAGGGACACCCTTGGGGAGAGGTGCCCAGCTGGTCTGGACCAGCTGGGAGAGACCTTCGGCCATGGGCCTCAGGCTTGTCCAGTGTGGCCCATAAAGATAAAGAGATCAGGTGGGGAGAAGTTCCCCAGAACCCCTGCTGCAGGCTGGGAGTAGGAGGGAAGGTAGTAGAGTCTTTTCCCTGAGGGCAGGGCCTTTGTGACTTCTCTGAGAGCTGACCCTCTGTCATTCCTGGCAGCTCAGTATCCAGCCTAGGAAGAGAAGACAAAGCCAATGTCTCCCCAGCTCTGAGATCCTTCTCCCTCCCCAGGTCAGCTTGCAGAAAGCCAAAGCCTATGCCTAGGAGAGAGCCTGGAACCAGAGAGCATGGCCCCTGGGACCCAGAGCCCCTCATCCCAGGTGAGTGCAGTCCATCCACAGACCTGACCAGCCTCAGCAAACCTGGAAGCCAAGAGAGCCAAGGAGGCTTTATCCTCTTCAATGAAGGTGGGCCTTTGCAGTGCTGTGAGCAGAGCAGAAATTGTCCCCTACTCCTGCTCATGTCCTCCTGCTTTTGGTCACCCAAGTCTTCTCTTCTCTGAATTGCTCTCATTTCCCATTTCTTAAGTCATGTCAGTAAGCATTTAGAAAGTGATTCCTCTGTGCCATGCACTGTGCTAGCCTACTGGGGATGAACAGAACAAGAGTCTGGCCTCAAGGAGCTCACAGTCTAATTGGGAGAAAACATCTCTTCAGTATGCACGGGAGGCGCCCTGAGAGGGAAGGCTCTGGCAGTTTTGGGCACTAGGAAAAGGAGCCTAGCCTGGCAAGGTTTTTAGGGACTCAGCAGGCAGGGTCCTTGGGGCTTTCTTTTGGACAAGGTCATCAAATCTTATCAGCCATGGAAGACATTGTCTAAAGAAAGTAACAGAGTTCTTTAGGAAAATTAGAAATTTCCACCTGGAATATCATCTATGGCAGCTACACATTTGAGCCAAGTCATTCTGAAGAGTTCCCAGCCTTGATTCAGAATGGGACCTGTCCTTGAATAACCCTGATACTGCCAGATCTTGGAATGCAGAAAATAAGAGACTGGCTCCAATCCTCATGGTCTGGGTGCTCCCTCCTGGTAATTCCACAAACATTGATGATGTGCCAGGCACCAGGCTCAGTCCTGGGGGTACAAAGCAAGGTGAGGAGCCCCTCCCCTCCAGGAGCTCACTTTCCACTGGCTTAGTCAAATCAACAAGTCAGTGAGGTTTTTTTAAGCATCTGCTCTGGTCTAAGCAACTCGGGCTCTTAGGATTCCAAGAATGGGAAAAGAAAACAGACACTTTTAAATAACTACAAACATGCATGCATACATACATACATACATATGTACATACATACCTACTTCCATAATCTGAAGCTAGGTGGTACACTGGATAGAGTTCTGGGTCTGGATTCAGGAAAACCTGAGTTCAAATGTGGCCTTAGACACTTCCTAGAGCGTCGGTCTCAGTTTTCTTTCCTGTGAAATGGTGGCAGTAGGACCTGCATAACAGAGTGAGTGTGAGGATCAGGAGAGGTAATGTTTGTCAAGTACTTGTGCCTGGCACATAGTAAGCACATCGTGTAAGGTAAATTTCAGGAAATCAAAGAGGGAAAATGGACTGAGAAAGGCTCCTTGTGGAAGATGGGTGGTCAGGACTGTTGAATGAAGCAGAGAGGTGAGTTAGGATGAGTACTGAGAAAAGATCATCAGCTTTGGGGATTAAAGCATCAATGCTAATTTTGGAGAGAGCACTTTCAGGAAAGAAAGGTTGAAAGCCAATTGGTAAAGGGTTAAGGAGTGAGGGCAGGTGGGCACCAAGGTGGCCTATGATAGAGCACGAGGCTTGGAAACAGGAAAACTCTGTGAGTCCAAATCTGTCCTTAGACATTTACTAGCTGTGTGATCCTGACTCACGTAAGTCATGTAACTCTGCTTGCCTCAGTTCCTCATCTCTAAAATGAATGGGAGCAGGCAGAAGTAAACCACTCCTGTATCTTTGCCCAGAAAACCTCAAATGGGATCTTGAAGAGTCGATACAGCTGAAATAATGGAATAGAAACTAAGGAGTGAGTGTGAGAGGAGAGTAGAGAAGTTCAGGCAGGTATCTCAAGGAGTTTAGCTGAGAAAAGATGAGATAGAATGATTGCTCAAGGGTGGTGAGGGTTTAGGGAAGCATTCCTAAAAGATGGGGGAGATGGGTATGTTTGCAGTCAGTAGGAAAGAGAGTGGCTGAGAGAGAAAGGTTACAAATGTGAGGGATGTGCCTGTGGGCAATGACTGAGTGTCCCGACTGTTGGGGAAGACAGGATGGGGTGGGATTAAATGGCCAGGTACCTGGTCAGCCTTGTCAGAGACAAGGCTCCTACTTTCTTGGAGAATGGAGGAAGGAAGGCAGTGTAAGATCCCGTGAAGATGTTCTGAGAAGGAGAGAATGCAGGCAGTTATTCACTCTACACTTGTTAATTGCCTCCTGTGTGCCAGGCGGTGTTCTTTGTAGGGCTTATGGAAAAAGAGGCCAACAGCAGTGTCTGCCCTCAGGGAGTTCACAGTGTAATGGGGGAGGCAGCAAGCACACACATAGGTACACAAAAGGTATAGACTTGTCAGTTGGCTATAGTTAATGCAATGAAGGCACTAGATTGCAAGGGAGGCGGCAAAAACAGAAGGTAGGATTTTGGTTGAGATTTGAAGGACCCAGAAGGCCTCAGTGAGGAGGCAGAGAATTCCATCCATTCTGGAGAGCCAGAGACGATACCCAGAGCCTAGAGACGGAGTGTCTTCTTCTTGGCATAAGAAGGAGGGCAGTGCCATTGGATCAGAGAAGGTGGCAGGAAATCAAGTATAAGGAGACTGCAAAAGTAAGGGATGTCTGGGTCTTGATGAACTTTTAAAGGAAGATAAAAAGCAAGATGGACACATGAAAGTGTCTGAATAGTCAGTAGTCAGCATTTATGAAGCACCTTCTGTGTGCCATGCACTGTGTTAAGGCCTGGGGATTCAAACAGAAAAGAAGAAAGACTGTCCTGTCCCAGGGAGTTTACACCTTTAAGGTAAAGACAACACAGCAGAGAAGGAGATTTGGGGAAAAGGCACTGGGACATGGTGGCAAAGTGAGTGCATGAGCTCACCCCATGGTGGGAAAGAGAGACTGTGGGAGGATGGAAAAGGAAAGAGGCATGCAAGAGCTTGTCATAAGAGCAGGTTAGGGATGCAATAGATGAATTATCAGTGAAGAAAAGCATGAGTTTCCTATAATAATTGTTCACACTGTGAATAAATTACAATACAGCGAAGGGTCATGACTCAGAACACCAAGTGAAAAGGGAAATGTTGGAAATTTGGGGGAATCTAAATACTCAGCAGAAGTCTAAAAACTTCTTTAATTGCTCAGAAGTTCAGTAATAGAAATAAAGGAAGCTAAAAGTAAAATATGGATTATAAATAGAAGATAAATAAGAGCTTTTAAATAGAATCAAAATGACAGAAAAGTGAAAGGGGATTTTTATTTACATCAAAGAAAATCCCTCTAAAATGATTCAGCTTCAGAAAAAGTGAATCACAGCATTCTGCTAGAAATGGGAGAAAATGGAATGGAAGAGCTTCAGATGCCACCTGCATTGGCTAAACAGATGTTCTACATGTATCAGGTTGAATAAATAGATGCGCCCTCCCAAGTATCAAAGGATTTGCAGATGTGGCCGCTCCCTTGAATGATAGAAATCCCTCTGCCTCTTGACTCATTCTCTTGATTCCGGATCCCTGATGTTGTAGCAGAATGTTGACATAATTTATTTTTCACAAATAAAGTGTGAGTGTCTTTCTTATGCCTGAGCTCAATCTCCAACCCCAGCCCATAATGTATTACCTTTTTAATGGAGGCAGGAACCCTCCTTTCCCCACATCGTTATGCTTATTTCTCTATAATTAAATCCTAAAATGAAGGTATTCCGTGACCAATTGCAAGCCATGAGAAAGCAGTGAGAGCAGATGGTTTTGACCCTGACACAACATGCCCGAGATCTCCACATCTCAGGGTAAAACTAGAGAACACTTCTTCACTTGGCTGGAAACAGGCTCATTCCATTCAGTTGAAGCCAGCTTGAAATATCTCTTTAGAATTCTTTTCCTATTTTCATCTACTTAAGAATTTATTTCTTACTCTGAAGGAACTTTTCTTTGTTCTTTCCTCAGTATCACTGTTCAGTTTCCTCCGCAGAATACACAGTACTTACCAGTTCTTCTCGCACTCTTCATGAATCTTCATAGTATGTCACTGATGACACTTCTGGTGGGAGGAATTTCTCATGACCTCTCTTTCTCTTCCACAGATTCCTATACCTCATTGACAGTTCACATATCTTGTCCCAATTCCATCGGGAGAAGCCTTGCATAGTAAAACATTTTTCTAGCTTTCATTATTCCATCATGATTCTTGCTTCAAATGTAAAATGCTTTTCTCCATATTCCATCGGGTTCTTAATGACTGGTTTCAAGTGTTGGCTGTGACACTCACAAAGGGTATATGAGTTTTAGGCAAATCTCTTTGTTTCAGTTTCCACCTCAAAATTGAAGAGGATTGGACTAGATGAATCCTGGAGTCTCTCTTTCAGCTCTAACTGATGTGACTTTTGACTTTAGGAGTTGGTGACATTCAAGGATGTAGTTGTGGACTTCACTGAGGAGGAATGGCGTCTCCTGGACCATTCTCAGAAAGAGCTGTACAAGGAGGTCATGCAGGAGAATGTCCAGAACCTGCTGTCCCTGGGTAAGAACCATTTCCTCTTTTCTTGATGTTAATTGGCAGGCCACAATTAGCACAATCAGCAGAGGATGGATCCATAGTCTGGTGCATCTCACCCTCAGGCTGCATTGAATGCAGTCATCTGCCTACACCAACTCGCCATGGGCTTGCTTTGGTCTTGGCTTGAAGCATTTTCAAGTTAAATAATTTACCATCAGTCAGGTAGCTGGAGATAGAGAGGATCTGGGTTCATTCTCAGAGAAAGAAAGAGAAGTTAAGAAAGCACTTTTACTTCAAAGGGAAATGTCAGTCTGTGAGAAGCCCAAAAAACATTCTTGGAAAAACTTAAAAAGTGCTTCAAAAATCAAATGAGAGACTGAGGAGAAATTAGGGGGGAAAAAAATAAGAACAATCCAAGGAAATTAAGAAAATTATGAAAAGAAAGTCAACCAATTAGAAAGGAGATCTAAAAACGTTATAAAGAAAATAACTTATTAAAAACTGGATTTGGGCAGGAAGAAGCTAATGACCTAAGACACCAAGAAATACCTGAAACCAAAAGAATGAAAAAGGAGAAGAAAATGTGAAACATCTCATTAGAAAAACAAATGATGTGGAGAATAGATCAAGGAGACACAGCATAAGAATTGTTACACTACCTGAAAAGTATGAGTCTAGATACGATATTTCAAGATGTTTTAAGGAAAATTGCCCTGAAGTTCTAGAACAAGAGGTGAAGTAGAAATAGCAAAAATTCACCATTCACCCTCTGAAAGAGATCCCAAGGTGAAAACTTATAGGAATATTACACCAAAGTTTCAAAGCTCCCAAATTAAGGAGAAAATACTGCAAGCAATAAGAAGAACATAATGTAAATATTCGAATAGCTACAATCAAGATAATACTAGACCTAGCAGCCTCTACATTGAAAGACTGTAGGGCTTGGGACATTATACTTGATACGTCGAGGGAGCTGGGGTTGTGACCAAGAATAGCTTACTTGGCAAAGTTGATTATAATCCTGAATGAAAAAAAAATGGATAGTTAATGATGTGTGAAAATGTTATTAGTACTCTTAGGAATGTCATTACTTGGGTAGTTTGAAAGAAAAGCTTAAGCTGAGTTAAATATGATGGGTTGAATTGAAAAATTAAATTAGGTAGAGAGAGGTAAAATGAAACAATTATCACATACAAATGAATTGTCTTGGAATTAAATGAGAGTGGAAGGCTGATATTGCTGGAACCTTATTCTCATTGGATTAACAGAAGAGGAAATAGAATATCTAACTAATCCTGTTGTAGAAAAGGAAATTGAACAGGCCCTAAATGAGCTTCCTAAGAATAAAGCATCTGGACCAGATGGATTTCCAAGGTAATTCTTGCAAATGTTTAAAGGTCAACTAATTTTAATATTAAATAAATTATTTGGAAAAAAAAATAGGCAAAGAAAGGATACTACCAAACTCCTTGTATGAAGCCAATACGGTATTGATATTCAAATCAGGAAGAATACGAAAGAGAAACAAAATTATAGACCAAGTTCATTAATTTATATGGATGGAAAAATCCTAAATAAAATACTAGCTAGGAGATTATAATGATAAGTTACAAGGATCCTATGTTGTGATCAATTGGAATTTGTACCAGGAACACAGAGATGCTTTAACCTAAGGAAAATTATTCATATAATTGAACATATCAATAATAAAAATCATATGAATGTATTAATAGCTGAAGAAAAACTTTTGATAAAATACAACATTCATTTCTATTAAAAACCCTTGAAAGTATAGGTATAAATGGAGTTTTCCTTAAATTGATAGAAAGCAGTTACCTAAAACTATCAGCAACCACTATTTGTAATGGAAATAAGCTAGAAGCCTTTCCAGTATGGTCAAGTGTGAAACAAAAATGCCCACTGTCACCAGTGCTATTCAATATTGTTTTGGGAATCCTAGCAATACCAATAAGAGAAGAATAAGAAATAGAAGGAATCAGAATAGGGAATAAGGTAATAAAAATACCTTTTTTGTGCAGATGATGTATATATATGGAAAATCCCAAAGACATAACTAAAAAGTTAGCTGAAACAATGACTAATTTTAGCAAAGTAGCAGGATACAAAGTAAGTAAACAGAAATCATCAGCATTCTGATATATCGCCAATCAAAACCTTACAAAGAGGGTTGGTAAGAGATACCTCATTCAAAACAACTCTAGACAGTATAAAATTCCCGTGAGTACACCTGCCGCAACAAACCCAGAAACTATATGAACATAAATATATAACACCCCAATATTTTATCTAAGTAATATCAGATTTAAATAATTAGATTAATTGTTAATTCATAGGCAGGGCCACCATAATAAGAATGATAGTTTTACCTACATGAATTTATATCTTCTATGCCATCCCAATTAAATTACCAAAAAATTATTTCCTGATTTAGAAAAAAAATAAAAACAATTCATTTAGAAGTACAAAAGTTCAATAACATGAAAGGATCTAAGGAAAAATAATGGTAAAAGAAAGAGATTTAGCAGAACCAGATCTTAAATCGTATTATAAGGCAGTAATTATGAAAACTGTCTGGTACTGGTCAAGAAATAGGCAGATCAATGGAACAGAGTAGACATTCAATTTATAGCAGCAAATAAATAGAGTAACCTCGTATTTGTCAAATGTAAAGACTTAAGATTTTGGAATAAGAATTCATTGTTTGGTAAAAAAAAGTATAGGAAAAACTGGAAAGTAGTATGGATATAGACTAATATTTCATCGTATTTATCAAACTAAAGTAAAAATGGATACATGACCTAGATGTAAAGAGAGATAATACAAGAAAATTTGAAGAACATAGAATATATTATTTATCAGAATTAAGGATAAATGAAAAATTTATGAATAAATAAGAGATAGAGAAGAGAGTGAGGTGTGAAATGGATAATTCTGATTGCATTAAATTAAAAAGTTTTTGTACAAGTAAAAGCAATGGAACCAAGATCAGAAGGAAAACAGAAAATTGATGCAAAAAAATTTCACATACAATTCTTCAGATATAGTTCTCATATCTCAGATATGTAAAGATCTTTGTATCTATAAGATCTATAAGAATGCAAGTTATTTCTGAATTGATAAATGGTCAAAGGATATGGACAGGCAGTTTTCTAATGACAAAATCCAAACAGTTTATAGTGATATAAAGAAATGCTCTAAACCATTATAGATTAGAGAAATGCCAATTAAAACAATCTTGAGATATCATTTTACATATATCAGATTGGGTAAAATGGTTGCAGGGAAGAATGACAAATATTGGAGTGGATATGGAAAAATTGAAACCCTGATTCATTGTTGGTGCAATTGTGAACTGCTCTATCCATTTTGGAAAGCAATCTGGAATGATGCTTAAAGAGTTATTTAAAACAATGTCTATCTTTGACCCAGCAGTACCACTATTAAGTCTCTTTCCCAATTAAGGAGGATGAAAAAAAACTTATATTTTTAAAAAATAATAATTTCAGCTCTCATTTTGGTGGCAAGAATTGTAAATTGTGGGTTTGCTAGTTAATTGGGGAATGGCTTGAGAGGGATTGAGTACAAACAGAGGTAAATGGTTAGTAGCTTTAAGAGTTCTATGGACGTGTTCAGCCCATCTCTCCAGGATCATGTCCCTATCACTCTTCAATGTGGCTCCATCAGCACTGAGTAGTTGAAGGGTACCATGGGTCTTTGGCCCATAAATAGCCTTCAGGGCCTCATATAAGTTCTTTGCATTGTTACTATCAGCATAAAACTGAATGTCACCTGCCTTTTTACTGAGCCAACAATCCTGCATCTCTCTAAGCTTTGCTGGTACTTCACTTCTGGTGGAGGAAAGTTAAAATATCTTCCTAGATATGGGTGAACTACCTACAGGTATGATCTGTATAGTTTTGATTATCTATTTATTAGGTTGTGAATTTCCCCATCGTTTTCCTCAAACCAGTCTGGATGTTTACAAGTGTTCTATTCCAGATGAGTAGATGTGGTCCTGCACAACAAATCCCTGAAAGCTCCTCCCTTCCCTGCTGGAATGCTGCCAACCCTGTGTTGGCTCAGCTTTCTCTCCAAATTATCCACTATCTGCTGTCCCCGGGGGAATCACTCTAGGCTGGTGACATGGAGACTGGCTACCATCTTGCCTTGTGGCTGCTGCTCTTGTTGAATGTGAATGTTGAGCTTGGAGTGAATAAGTGGGTGATGGGTCCAGCACTCTGGTGTGCACCCCCTTTGTCACTCACGGCCTGTCTGTCTCCTCTGCTTACAATGGTACAGTCTGTTGAATGCCAGCATTTGCTCCAAGAGTACATTTGTTGCATTTAGGTTGGTGATAAGAAGGTCATGAGCCACATAAATCTCAAGTAACTTACGTTCAAAAGGTTTCTCACCAGTGTGGGTTCTCTGATATTCAGCAAGATTGTACTTCATTGTAAAAGCCTTTCCACAGTGATTACATTCATAAGGTTTCTCTCCAAAGTGGATTCTCTGATGTGCAGCACAGGTGGATCTCTGGGTGAAAGCCTTTCCACACTGCTGCTGTTGCATGCGCTTTTGTGTGTACCTTTTGGTGTAAATGTGTTTGATTATTTGTTTTCTTCAGGTGTAGAGACCAGATTGGAAGTAAATGAGATGCGTAGAAATCTTGGATTTTTTGTCGAACAACGCGACCTGCACAGATTTATGAGTGATGGTCCCTGTGGCTTCAATTGGAGAGAAATCCATGACTCTAATATCAAGTTAGAGAAAAATCCAAAGAGTGAGTGTAAATTTGATGAAATTGGAAAGAGATTCAGACAGTCTTCAATCCCAAATCACTGTAAGAAAATGACCTCAGGCAATGACTGTGTTCAGGATAGTGAATATAGCAAGTGCTTTACTGAAGTGCTGGACGTTTTTACATCCCATGGGAAGCCTCCTGAAATGCCAGTGTACTCAGGTAACCAAAGGGAAATGGCCTTGAGCTGGAGTTCAGACCTCCTTAGACAGGAGAAAAGTGATACTGGAGAAATGCATTCTGTAAGTAATAAAGGTGGAAAGTCCTTGAATCAGAACTCTAAGCTCACTAGTCATCAGCAAATTCCCACCAGAAAGGAGCGTAATGAATATAATGAGGGGGAAGCAACCTTATCCCATCATTCATCTCTTCCTTGCCAGTCTAAATTTCACCCTGGGATGAAAAGATATGCATGTCCTCAGTGTGGGAAAGCCTTTGGTTGGAACTCAGATCTTTATAGATCTGAGAAGGTTCGTACTGGGGAGAAGTTTTATAAATGTGATAAATGTGAGATAGCTGTCTGCTTGAAATCACTCCTTCTTGGCCTTCAGAGAATCCACACTGGAGAGAAATGTTATGAATGTAATCAATGTGGAAAAACCTTCAGAGAGAGGTCCCATCTTGCTGCACATCAGAGAATCCACACTAGAGATAAGCCTTATGAATGTAATCACTGTGGAAAGGCATTCACAGACAAGCGCAGTCTTACTGTACATCAGAGAAGCCTCTTTGGAAAGAAGCCTTATGATTGTCATCAGTGTGGAAAGGCTTTCATAATGAGACAGAAACTTGCTGTCCATCTGAAAATCCACAGTAGAGAGAAACCTTTTGAATGTAATCACTGTGGGAAGACTTTCACACACAAGTACAATTTTGTTGCACATCAGAGAATCCACACTGGAGAGAAACCTTTTAAATGTAATCACTGTGGAAAGACTTTTACACAGAGGTGCCATCTTGGTACACATCAGAGAATCCACACTGGAGAGAAACCTTATGAATGTAATCAGTGTGGAAAGGCCTTCACAGACAGGCACAATCTTGCTGCACATCAGAGAATCCACTCTGGAGAGAAGCCTTATGAATGTAATCAATGTGGAAAGGCTTTCAAAATGAGGCAGAATCTTGCTACCCATCTGAAAATCCACAGTGGAGAGAAATATTTTCAATGTAATCACTGTGGAAAGGCTTTCACAGACAGATGCAATCTTGCTGCACATCAGAGAATCCACACTGGAGAGAAGCCTTATGAATGTAATCACTGTGGAAAGACTTTCACACAGAGGGGCAGTCTTAGTACACATCAGAGAATCCACACAGGGGAGAAACCATATGAATGCGATCTCTGTGCAAAGGCTTTCATATCTAGGTGGTATCTTGCTGAACATCAGAGAATCCACACTGGAGAGAAACCTTACCAATGTAATCAATGTGGAAAAGCTTTCACAATGAGGCAGAATCTTGCTGTGCATCTGAAAATCCACACAGGAGAGAAGCTTTATGAATGTAATCAATGTGGAAAGACTTTCACACAGAGGGGTAATCTTGCTGCCCATCTAAAAATCCATAGTGGAGAGAAACCTTTTGAATGTAATCACTGTGGAAAGACTTTCACATCAAAGGGCAATCTTGTTGCACATCAGAAAATCCACAGTGGAGAGAGACCTTTTGAATGTAATCACTGTAGAAAGGCTTTCACAGACAGGCACAATCTTGCTACACATCAGAGAATCCACTCTGGAGAGAAGCCTTATGAATGTAATCAATGTGGAAAAGCTTTCAAAATGAGGCAGAATCTTGCTACCCATCTGAAAATCCACAGTGGAGAGAAACCTTTTGAATGTAATCACTGTGGAAAGACTTTCACACAGAGGTGCGATTTTGCTGCACACCAGAGAATTCACACTGGAGAGAAACCTTTTGAATGTAATCACTGTGGAAAGACTTTCACACAGAGGGGCAATCTTAGTACACATCAGAGAATCCATACAGGAGAGAAACCTTATGAATGTAATCACTGTGGAAAGGCTTTCATATTTAGGTGGTATCTTGCAGAACATCAGAGAATCCACACTGGAGAGAAGCCTTATGAATGTAATCAGTGTGGGAAGGCTTTCACAATGAGGCAGAATCTTGCTACCCATCTGAAAATGCACAGTGGATGGAAACCTTTTCAATGTAATCACTGTGGAAAGACTTTTGCACATAGGTACCATTTTGCTGTACATCAGAGAATCCACACTGGAGAGAAGCCTTATGGATGTAATCAATGTGGGAAATCTTTCACACGGAGCTCACATCTTGCTTTACATCAGAAAATTCACACTAGGGAGAAACTGTAAGAATGTAACTAATGTGGAAAAGCTTTCAGACAGGGCTCTAGAATTGTTAACATCGAAAAGTGGATAGTGAGAAGAAATCTTATTAATGTAGGGAAAGTGGAATGATTTCACATTGGCCTCTGATTTTGCTAAACATTAGAGAGTCAACACTGCAGACAAACCTCTTGAATGTCATGAATGTTGCATAGCTTTTAGTTACCACTTAACATATGTAACAGAAAAGGTTCCACATTTGGGAGAAGCCTTATGAATGTAACCAAAGTGGTGATGCATTCAGGTAACAATCATCTATTGCCCATCTTAGAAATCATATTAGATAGAAAAGTCGTGAATGAAGAAAGGCGTTCAAATGGGGTTCAGAGTTTGTGGAGTTTTAGAGAAACCATTCTGAGGAGCAGATCCCTGTGCACTCAGTGTGGGAAGGCTTCCAGCTAAAGATCATCTCTTACTTTCCATCAGAGGCTTCATTGTGGAGAGAAGCCTTACAAATATGTTCTGGGGGGCCATGGTTTTCTCTGGAGGAGGGTGATCAGTAGACACCCTTGTTCCTACTGGAATGAAGGTGGATAAAGGCAATGGATGTGGGAAGGGCTTTCCCTAGAGCTCCTACTTTACTGTACTTTGGAGAAATCATACTGGAGATAAAACTTTGGAATCTAGTTACCAAGGGAAGGCCTACTGCTGCAGCACAGACTTCATTCGATCTGCCAACAAAAGAGACCTCATTAAAGATCCCCACATTCCATCCTGTGTCTAAAACGGTATACATGTAAGGATTATTCCCTGAAATTCTGATGTTTGTCATCCCTCTTCAGTATTTCATGGTGTTCATAGATTCTTATTTCTTCTAACATATTTTGTAGACCTTAATGAATTCTCATCCAACCATGAACTTTCCCTCTTTTTTTTTTCTTCCAACTTTCCCTCTTGCTCCAGTTTTCCAAGACTAATTAGATGCCTCTGGTGTTTTTTTTAATCTCCACTACTCTGTGCTCTGCCCTCCTCTCAGGGACCCTCTGTGGCCTCCTAGGCATTCTCTTTTCCCTTATTCTAAAAAACAAAAATAAAATACCGTTTTTCCCTCCCCCCCATCCTATTTTCAAAAATTTTTCCATAAAGCCTTCTGTTTCTCTCTAGCTGGCTTGACATACATTGCATGGGAGTTTAGTCCAAAACCTGCTCCCTTAAGTGGATGATTTAGAACTGACTCAATTTGGGACTTGGGGAACAAGGTTATATGCCCTCAGAAGAGCAGGTCTTCCCAAGGAGTGCCAATCAACTCTGATTGGTCAACACAGTGGGAGGTGTGGTATATTAAAATGAAGTCTTGAGTTAGTGACTTACGTTTCTTAATCCTGACCTTTTCTATCAGACCACCCCCAGTGTTGTGCTATCTAGGCAGAAGAAAATGTCTCTACCCAAACCTGAGCAGATTAAATCAAGTCTGGCCTGGGATGGAGTGTGACAAGGTTAAGATTATCAGTAATGTCCTTGTGAAAAGTGAAGGGGGGCTGAGAGCCTTGAATCACAGCCATTTAGGGTTAAAGTCAGAGGTGGAGTAGTAGGGTTAAAGTCAGAGTAACTAGTCCCTAAGTGACTTTAACCCTAAATGCTTCTGACTCTAATGTTAAATATGCAGCACTAGGGAAATAAGGATTGCACCAATTGAAATGTGTTCCCCAAAAGGAGATCAGGGCTTCTGAGTGGCCTCTAAAGGGCTGAGTGAAGCAGGAATCATGGCATGAAAGGGGGAACAAAGACCACTTCTTCATCTTTGAAGGCTAGTCAAAGTATAGGTAAGCCATTTGACCTCTGTCACCTCCTGGCTCAGACCTACCTGGGAATTGCAAGCCCAGCACTGAATTGTCAGGAGACATGATTATCTCAAGGAAAAGGGCTGCTTCTTCCGTCTAGGGAGTCTGCCAGGAAGAGGAGTCCAAGGCAGAATTTGCCTAGAAATGTAGGCCATGTGGAAAGGAGAAGGCCCTAGGGGCCTCTATGAACCAAGGCTTTTATGAGGGGTCCAGGTGGCTTTTTCTGCCTCAGTCCTGAGGCCCCAGGATCATCATCTTCCTCAATTCACATTCATGGCCAGAAACTCAGGCCCCTGCCTTTTTCTCTGCTGCTATTCCTGGTCTCCATCAGCTGCAGTGCCATGGCCATGGGAATGACCCCTCTTCTGCCTTGCCCTTGTCCTAGTCCACCAGCATCCACTCCAAGGCTCACATTCTACCTGAGCCAAAATGCAGAAGACCTGTTCCCCCTGAGATCTCCTCCTTCATCTGTCCATCCCTTCCCACACTCTCCTTGATCCTACTGTGGGATCCAGACCCTTCTGCTGAGTAGAAAGACTGCAACCATCAAACTTTGGCTGTAGACTAAACCAAAGGAGTGGGCCTATATTTTGAGGTGCTGGCAACCAATGGAAATGAGTTTGTCCTTAACTAAATTAGAATGTGGTTTCCTTTAAAGTCACATGTGTTCTATGGCAGCTAGGTGGCGCAGGGGATAGAGCACCGGCCCTGGATTGAGGAGGACCTCAGTTCAAATCCAGCCTCAGACACATAACACTAGCTGTGTGACCCTGGGCAAGTCATTTAACCACATGGCCTAGCTGGAAAAAAAAAACCTGACATATGTTCTTTCAAGATACCTGTGATGTTTTGCCCTCTGTTGGTGGGTCATACCTTTCTGAAAAGTAACTCTTATAATTTGGCATTAAGACAATATGCTCCAAAATTATAAAGATGAGAATGAAGAACATCATGGGATCAAAATGACTCTATCCTGATAAGTGAATGCAATCAATCTAGAGCAGAGGTGGGGAACCTACAGCCTTTAGACCAGAAGGGCGTTCTAGATCCTGAAGTCAGGAAGACTCTGGAATCAGGAAGACTCATCTGCATGAGTTCAAATATGGCCTCACTAGCTCTGTGATCCTGAGTCATCTAAGTCAATTAACTGCCTCAGTTCATCATGTCCAAAATGAATATGAGCAGGAAATCGCAAACCACTCCTATATCTTTACTCAGAAATTCTCAAATGGGGTCTAGAAGAGTCAGACACAACTGGAACAATTCAATAACAACTAAGGAGTGAGTGAGAGAGGAAATTAGAAAGTTCAGATGGATGTTTCAAGGAGTTTGGCTGAGAAAAGGAGGGGAGATAGAATGATTGCTCAAGGGTGCTAAGGGTTTAGGGAAGGCTTCGGTAAAGGTGGGAGAGATGGGTATGTTTGAAGTCACTAGGAAAGGGACCAGCTGATAGAGAAAGATTGAAAATGTGAGGGATCTACCTGTCGGGAATGACTAAATATGCTAAGTATTGGGGAGGATAGGATAGGATGGGATCAAATGGCCATGTACCTGGTTGGCCTTTACAAAGACAAGGCTCCCACTTTCTTAGAGAATGGAGGAAAGAAGGCACTGTAAGATCCCATGAAGAAGTTTTGAGATGGAGAGAATGTAAGCAGTTATTCACTCTACACTTATTAAGTGCCTCCCATGTGCCAGGCACTGTGCTTGTAGGGGCCATGCAAAAAGAGGCAAACAGTAGTGTCTGCCCTCAGGGAGCTCACAGTCTAAGGAGAGAGACAATGAGCACACAATTATGTACAACCGACAATGGGATATAATTAATAGAATGCTCTAGAATAAAGGGGAGCTGAGAAAGGCTACTTATAGCAGGTGGGATTTTCCTTGAGATTTGAAGGACTTCAGGAAGCCTCCATGAGGAGAGAATTCCAGCCATTCTGGAGAACCAGAAAAAATGTCCAGAGCCTAGAGATGAAGTGTCTTCTTCCTGGAATAACAAAGAGGCCAATATCATTGAATCACAGAGAAGGTGGCAGGAAGTAAGATATAAGAAGATTGGAAAACTAGGTGATTTCAGAATCATGGTGGGCGAAATAAAATGCAGGATCCTCAGATGAGAGTGCTTGGGTAGTCACATGTCAGTAAGCATTTATTAAGCACCATGTATGTACCATGCAACATATTAACGTCTTGGGATGCAAACAGAAAAGGTTTCTCCTCATAGAGTTTTCACTTTCAAGGGTAAGACAACACACCAAAGGAAGAGATTTGGGGCAGAAGGCACTGGGACATCATGGTAAAGTCAGTGAGAAGCTCCAAAGTAGTACAGCCAGGGGAAAGCGTGGAGATGTGTGTGCTGACCTCCTTCTGTGGAGGTTTGGAGTATGTGAGCTCACCCCATGGTGAGGAAGAGAGACTGTGGGAGGAAAGGTAAGGAAGGAGAAGTAGGGATTCTGGAGATCAACTATCAATCAGTAAGACCATGGCCTTCCTACAGTGATTGTTCACATTATGAATGAATACAATGCAAAGAAGAGTCATGACTCAGAATACCTAGTGAAAAGAAAGTATCTGTTTATTCTTGGGAACCTAAAAAAATCAGGAAATACTAATAAATTTCTTAATTGCATAGAAGTTCAATAGAGAAATCAAGGAAGTTAAAAGTGAAATTATACATTACAGATACAAGACAAATGAGATGTTTTAAATAAAATCTAAGGGACAACAAGAAAATATTTTTATGTATGAGAAAGAGAAATCAAGGAAGTTAAAAGTGAAATTATACATTACAGATACAAGACAAATGAGATGTTTTAAATAAAATCTAAGGGACAACAAGAAAATATTTTTATGTATGAGAAAGAGAATTGCTCCAAAATAATCCAGTTTCTTTAAAAGCATATCATACCATTCTGCTTGAAATGGAAGGGCATCAAAAGCCAAGTGCCTTGGCTAAACACACATTTTGCATGTAGCAGATTGGTAAACGAGATGAGCTCTCCCAAGCATCAAAGGATTGGAAGAAGTGTTCAGTCTCTTGTGCGATATCCATCTGTCTGCCTCTTGACTCCTGATCCCCAGGGTTCTAGAGTTCTAGCAGCATGTCGAAACCATGTATTTTTCATAAATTGTCAATATCTTTCTTATTCTTTAGTTCAACCTCTAACCCTAGTTCATAAAATAATTACATTTTCAAGGAAGCAAGGAACCCTCCTTTCCCCACATAGTGACTCTTATTTCTCTATAATTAAGTACTGAAATGAATGAATGTATTCCATCACAATTTAAAGTACTCATAAAAGACAAAAGATGTTTTGACTGTGACACATTATACCCAGTGTCATCTCAACCCCTCAGTATAAGAATACAGAACTCTTCTTCGCTTGGCTTGAAGTACTCTCATACCACTCAGTTGAGGCCATATTGTAAGTAATTTCTCTTTGGAAGTCTTTTCATACTTTTCCCTGCTTAAAACTTTATTATGGACTTCTAGGGAATTTACTTAATAATTTCTTCATTGTGTCTTCAGGAATCACTGTTAAGTTGTGTTCCCCCACCCCTCCCCAGAATACATAGTACTTGCCACCACTTGAAATGTCACTTATGACGCAGAAGGAATTACATAGGACCTCACTTTATCTTCACAGATTCTTAGGCATCGCTAATAGACCACATATCTTCTTCCTAGTTCCATCGGGAGATGCATTGTATGCTAAGATTTTTTTTAGCGTTTATTATTCCATCATGATTCTCACTTCAGATGTAAAATGCTTTTCCCAATATTGCAATGGGTTTTTAATGACTGATTTCAAGTTTTATAAATTTTTTCAAATAAAATTCTCGTGTATCAAATATTCAAAGATCTTTGCAAAATCTAAAGAATATGAGTCATTTCCCAGTTGATAACTAGTTTTACAGTCCAGAAATCCAAACAGAAAAAGCCAATAGAGAAATTCAAATTCAAGCAAACTTAGGACATTATTTTATACCCATCAGATTGGCTAAAGTGATTGTAAAGGGAAATGATAAATGTTGGAGGGGATGTGGAAAAATGGACACACTAATTCATTGTTGGTTGAATTGTGAACTGACCTAACCATTTTGGAGAGCAACCTGGAATAATGACCAAGCAATACCACTACTAGGTCTGTTTCCCAAGATGACTAGGAGAAAAGGAAATGAACTTAATATTTTAAAATATTCCTAGGCTCTCTCTTTGTGGTGACAAAGAACTGGAAATTGCAGGGATGCCCACCAGTTGGGGGATGGACATGGAGGGATTGGGTAGAACCCAATGGAAATGGTAAGTGGCTTCAACAGGGGTTGAGAATGGTCTGTTGTGAATGCTATGGAATTGTTCAGCCCATCTCTCCACCATCATGTAATTTTCAGTCATCAGTGAGGCTCTATTAGCACTGAGTAATTGAGGTGCACCATGAGTCTTTGGCCCATAAATAGCCTTAGGGTCTCATACAAGTTCTTGGCATTGTTACTATCAGCATAAAACTGAATGTCATCTGTCTGCTTACTGAGCCAAGAATCCTGCATCTCTCTAAGGTTTGCTGGTACTTCACTTCTGGTGGAGTTAAAGGCTGTCTTCCTAGATATGGGTGTACTAACCTACCAGTAGACTCTGTAGAGTTTTCATTATCTATTTATTAGATTTCTAATTTCCCCATCATTTTCATCAAACTAGTTTGGATGTTTACAAGTGTTCTCTCCAAGATGAGTAAACATGGTCCTGCACAACAAATCTCTGAAAGCTCCTCACTTCTTTCCTGCTGGAATGCTCAAACCCTGTGTTGGCTCAGCTTTCTCTCCAAGTTATCCACAAAGTTGTCCCAGGGGGAATCACTCTAGGCTGGTGACATTAAGTCTGGCAGCTATCTTGCCTTGTGGCTGCTTCACCTGTTGAGTGTGAATGTTTAGCTTGCAGTGAATAAGTCTCTGATGAGTCCAGCACTCTGTGCTGGCACCTCCTTTGTCACTCACAGCCTGTCTCTTCTCCTTACAATGATACAGTCTATTTAATGCCAGTGTTTGCTCCACGAGTACATTTGTTGCATTTAGGCTGTTGATGAGAAGGTTATAGGGTTCATAAATCTTCAGTAACCATTGCTGTTGCATGTATTTATGTGTATATATCTTTTGGTGTATGTATCTTTGATTGTTTTCTTCAGCTTTAGCAACCAGGTTCAAACTTACTGAGATGACTAGAAAACTCAGACTTTTTGTTGAAAAATGGACCTACCCAGATTCATGAGTGATGGTCCCTGAGGCTTCAAGTTGAAAGAAATCCATGACTCTAATATCAAGTTAGATAAAAATCCAAAGGGTGTGATGAAGTTGGAAAGAGATTCAGACACTCTTCTATCCTAAATTAGTATAAGAAAATGACCTCAGGCAATATCTTTAGGATAGGGGTATAACAAATGCTTTACTGGACAGATAGGGCTTTTGCAGTCCCTTGAGAAGCCTCTTGAAATGTAAATGTATCCAGGTAATCAATGAGAAATGGCCTTGAGCTGGAGTTCAGACCTCAGACATTAGAAAAGTGATATTGGAGAAATGCTATCTGTAAGTAATAAAGGTGGGAAGGCTTTGAGTCAGAACTCTAAGCTCATTACTCATCAGCAAATTCCCATTAGAAAAGAGCCTGATGAATATAGTGAAAATGAAGCAACGTCATCCCATCACTCATCT